ATGCCGGCTATGGGATCTGGATGGTTCCTCCAAACTCCCACCCCGCCACTTAGGAGGAAACCCTAAGCATATCGCTTCTCCCATAGTGTGGGATGTGGCAAGGGGAAGTCGCGAGGATTCAGCAAGATGCTGCCTGAAGTGCCTGACAGTTGCCCGGCCCCGCTGAATGCTTGTACGTCACAGCTGCCAGTATTATTACTACCGCTGCCTGTTTTACTCTGAGGCACTGCTAGGCTCTGGAAAAGGAGTATTCGGCAGAAAACAGTTCCTGGGTTTGAGGGGTTTTTTAGGTGGTTTTTTTTTTTTTTAATGCTGTATTTGACATTGATGTTGACTAGGGCTGAGGGATATTAGACGTGAAATGGACCTTTACAAAACATTTTCAGCTCTATTAGTTAAAGTAACGGACAATAGATAGTAAACATTACTTCAGTGTGAAACTTAGATACCTAATTTTCCATACCAAAAATATTTTTCTGCTTTTACCCAAATAAAATATATTCCTGGTGACATAGTTAGAATGTTCTTTTATTCAAAAATTGTTAAAGCTGTTAAGTCTGAGTCTAAATTTTGTGGTGCTGAGAAATCACTTAATGTTGTGAGGAATTTCAGGCAGTTAAGGGCAGTTTAAGCAGTGAAGGCAAAGTAATTGAGGTTCCACAAATTGGAAGCTTCCTTATTTTAAAAATATTCTTGGGAATTATGGTTAAAGGCTATGTCATAACCATATTATAACAGATCAATTAGCCTATATTCTTCTAATGGATATTTCCTATGTGGCAATTTGGCATTGAGTATAAAATATGAGATAAATTTGATACTTTTTAATTCTAAGACAGTAGATCCTAAATATGGGGGTCTCTCACTTTTATTTGGGGGAACCTCTGCCCCAAGATTTTTTCTCAGCTTTATTTAGGTAAGACAGCATCTCACATTCAAATTATTGATAAACAACCATTTTTAATAGTGTTTTGGCTTTGGTTTACTAGAAGGCTGGGAGTGAATGACTTGAAGCCCTCATTTCACTCATTATAGAAACTGGTGTCCAGATCGGGCTAGTGGTCCCTTCAGCCCAGTGTCTAGCTTAGATATTGTTGTCCAGGAATTTCTTGAGCATGATAAATGGCCTTCCATGATGTCATCTTTATAGGAATGTATGTACACCAGTTACTCTCCACTTCAGTTGAACAATCAGCGATGGCATGCTACATGAATTTTTTTTTAAGCCTCGTGAATTGTCTGTATATTTTCATCTTGAGGCACAGAGTTCTATATTTTTGACCTGTTGTAAAGGTGTCTGAATTCCACACTGGCTTCCAAACTTAGGTTTAGTATTTGATTTTGGCTGGTAAAATTATACACAGTGCTTTTAAACAATGTTTTAAATGATAATCCCATTAAAAGTTCGGGATTTGGTTTAGTTGGGGAAGACCAGGAGTCCATTTTTAGAGACCTTAAATCCACCTTTTATGATGGTCTTGTCTTTTGCTTTAGTCATCTCATGTCTCAGTACTTCCTACTTTTTCACTTCTGCATCACCAGGTAGCTAGCTGTCTTGTAATTGTAGCCTTCCTAGAAAGGAGATGTTTAATCAGGAATCCTGCTACCAATTCCTGATCAGCAGTTAGTTACCAGATACCATCAGAAGGAATACTTTTCCTCTGACATCTTAATATGAAACATTTCCAGCATACAGAAAAGTTGCAAGAATTGTGTAGTGACACACATATACCCACCACTTGGATTCCGTAATCAACATTTTTCTCTGTTTGCTTTATCACGTATCTCCCCATTACTGGATGGAATAGCTTATGAGGATTTAATAGATTTGATTTTGAAGGAGAATGAGATGGATATGCAGTTAGATATAAATTTTTGTTTTGAACTCTGTATCTTCAGCTGACTCACATATCAACTACCCCTCAGGGTTAGGCTTGGGGGTTCTAGAAGGGTGGTCTTCTAGATCAGGGCTGCTTCAGACTTGAGCTCTACTATATATAGGTCATATCTTCAGCTTTGAGTGTGCTGGAAACTACACAGAATCTGAATTGTTTGAAGCCTCCAGCGGTGATAATAGGTTGGTTGTGATGTCCCCTGTTAGTAGCAAAACATCAGAATTTCAGATTGGATTTTTGTATTTTTGTAGCATGAAACTACACCATTAGTTCATATATTTTCTAAATATATTCTCTGCATAGTTACGCATTTACTGAAGGCCTATGTTAGAGTCCCCATACCATTTTTCAGTGTAAATCAAGGATTTTCACTCAAGGTCTTTTTAAAATTTTTGAGCTTCCTGGATCCCTTATTTTTTTTTAACATGAGGAAATCGCTGATGTTTCTAAAGGATTTATTGATTTTTTTTTTTAAGTTTTGGTTTATAGATTTCAGGAATTAACACCAAAATTTACCCAAAACACTTTAAGTAAAAAGTTTGCTTAAAATTATCCTGATGGAAAAATAAAGAACATAATAGGTACATAAGTTCTTGGCTTTAATCTTGGTTATTTTTACTGGCTAGAACAGAGGCACTCACGTGAACTTCCTTCCAGTGGATTCATTCTTATTTTCTAGAGTTATGGTGTTTTTCAAAGATTAAAAAGAGGTTGAACTGAGCAGTTAAATATGTAAAATTTGAAATTCCAAAGCAAATAGTAACTTCCAGAAATTCCACAGCAGCATCAGTCCAGGCTGTGACCAAATAGGGCTCCATTCTTCCTGTGGGGAGAAGCTGTGACTGGCCAGAGCCAATGTTGACTTTGGCCTCTGGTGTTTATTTGTGGAGTGTGTTCAAAAGGAGTGAGTAAATACACTAATGGGAGGCAGGTAACTGTTTTCTTGTTCATGTGTTTTAAAAATTAATATTTCAATCCAAGGTTGGACATGTACTTATTTAAGGTTATGATTTTATATAATTTAATAATTTTCTTATACAAATAATGATTGGTAATAAAATTTCAGCCATTATCAGGTTATGTCTTTACTTTAAATTTCTTTACAGGTAAACCTTTCAAAAGATAATGCCTGAGCTGAAGACAAAGTTTCTGGAAGAGAAATTTTAGAGCGTTTAAAACACAGCTGGTTATATTTATACTAATGGCTTTGTTCCTCATATATATAAAGAAGAGACTTAGGCCAGGATCTTAAAGGAAGTGCTGCTACATTTTAACACAAAACCTTTATAGCTGCTTATCCTGGACATTAAGTAGCAAGAACTGGTAACATTTTTACACAACATCATTTGTAATTTTGAACAGGTTCACTTACTATGGTCTTAGACTCACTCTTTTCCTCAGCTGCCATATCCAACCTGTGGCCAAGCCATGCTCGCTCTGCCTCATGTCTAGGTAGCTCTCGAGATGGCCCACTTGCCTTCCCGGAAACCCCCTCCTTGGTCCAGACCACCATGGCTGGTCACTGGGCCGAAGCAGCAGCTGCAGCTTCCCTATTTTCCTGCCTCAAGTCCCAGCTTCCTGTCTTCTTTGCACACTGCAGTCAAGGCTTCTGCTAAAAATGCAAATCTAATGGTTTCTTGGCAACTAAAAGCCTCTGTGACTTCCCAAGTAAGATCAAGTCCCATGTCCTTAACAAGAAGAGATGACAACCTCTTCAAATTTTCCTCTGCCACTTCCTCCTCATTTCTTTGTTCCTCAGTTATACCAGCTTCTTAGTTTTGGGCCTCCCCCTACGCTGCCGCTTTTGCCTAGAACATTCCTCCCTAGCGGGTCCCTCCTCCTCCTAAGTCTCAGCATACATTGCAGCCTCCTCGAACTGCCCCCAAGACTAGGTTAGATCTCTTTGCTGTACATTTTAGAGCATCTTTAATAACACTATGTCATAACTGCATAAATTCCATGAGGCCACGATCATTGCAGTATCGTTAGCACCTCGTACACTTCCTGGCATAGCACACCGTTTGTTGGTATAGATTGAAATGGAATTAATGCTCACAATGGTTTTGTGATGGATTGGTAGTTTGTCATCCATTTTACGGTTGAGAAAACTGGAGGCATAAGGAAGTTCAAACTTATCCCCAAATTCCAGCCAGTGAGTGATAGAGTTGGCCGTGGGTGGGTCTCAGATCCAGGGTAATGACTGCAGATCTTAGGCTCCTGCTCCGACAGGTTTATTTTGACATTCTAAGCTTTTAACAAAATGTATGGCCAGTGAGTCATCTCTGTTTAGAAAGCCTTTAGGAGTTGGAAGCACCTCCTGATGATGTAATGTTTGACTCTCTCAGGTCTTTAGATTGGGGAGTTCCAACTTTTGTTAAGCCCTTAATAACGTTATGAGTGAAACAAGTATTGGCAAGACTGGATGGACTGTATAACCTGCCCTTGTTGAGAGGTTTTTGCCTTAAGCCAAGAGTGCAGGGAACATAGAAAAGCACATAACTTGTGGATGGTGAACCCTAATTTATAGTAGTTGAGATAGAACAACAAAATTGTACAACCCAACTCCAGGGTATCATCATAACTTGGGTAAGCCAACAGAGGACGGAAGAGAGATGCACTCACTCCTATGAGGAGAGCATTTGGTGAACCATTGGGCTGCCGGGGTCACCGCTCTAGGAGCCCCTGAAGTCACCATGTGAATGTTGTAAAATCTGGAGACCATTTCTTGGCTAATGGCGCAGTAATCTTAATTTTTAGGTGATGTTCTCTTGAAAAAGATTGAAGTGATTAGGAGACTTCCATGCCCACTCTGACCTCTGCCTGATGGTACCCAGTACCCCTTAACAGAGGCTTTCCTGTCTCAGGAGTATTTCTGCATGGTTCTCTATTACTTTCTCCTCTTTGCAGGGAAGTTTACTCCAGTAGCCCTGAGCCACTAATTAATATGTCTGGATTCTATTGTGTTAGCTGCTCTAAAAGCTTGTGGTGATATGTGAGGGGGGAGGTAGCGCATGAATACAGATGAATTAAAGTGAGAATAGTTCTGTGTGGTGGTTATGACTAAGCACTCTGTTCAGAGAACAGTCACTACTGATTGTCAGAGGGATGGCTTTAGGAAGGTGCTGGAATTTGAGCTGCCCCTCACAGGCAACAAAATCTATTAGCGACAAAGTAGAAGTTACAGAGGAAAGCTATGTTTGCATGTTAGTATTCATCAGAATACTTTGAGGGGAGAATTGAAGATTCTTGGATCAAAGACTTCTACAGATGGCCACAGGAAAGACTTTCAATTTTAAAATACTGTTCTTCTTGAACCATTACTTTTTTAATAACTATTTTTGACTGTTATGCTAATAACACCTACCTAAACAGGATGCAAAGGCTCCTCAGTGCCTTTCTGAGAGATTCTAGATTGTTTATTTTAAATTTCAGGATGAAAATTCTATATGAGTAGTGTTAAAAGGCTATAGAAACAGTTTTATTTAAATGCTAAGTACTTGGTGTATACTCCTTGATTTTTCTATAAATCATTTTAACAGAATAATGAAAACTAGGATTACATTCCTGTTGACTAAGCAACTTACACTTTTTTTCTCTCTCTTTAGAGCCGTTGGTAAAACTTGCCTCCTGATCAGTTACACAACCAATGCATTTCCTGGAGAGTATATCCCCACTGTGTAAGTATTTTGAGTTAAACTGGGAATTAACTTGTCTGTGATAAGTTTTTCAGACACCTCTCACCTTTGTTTTGCGATAGTCATTCTTAATCCTTACATGAACAGATATAATTAGTTTTCGTCTCATTCACTAAAGTGTAGTTATAAGGTATTTGGGCTTTTAAATAATACTTAATGTTTCCACATAGTGGTAAACACGCAGCTTTCCTCATTGATTTTTTTAGACATTCAGGAAATAGAAGACAGTTAACTAACTGAAGTACAGAGACTGGCTAATGTAAGAGTTTCAGATAAACTCGGCCTTCTGGACCCTGTGTGTGAAGAAGCGTCAAGGAACTGGAACATGAACTACTGTATTCTGTGTTTTTTGTTTTGTTTTGTTTTTTTTTTTAAATTTTTATTGGGGAATTGGGGGAAGGGGAACAGACAAGCTGCTATCCTTTTGTTCTTCAGTCTAGTTGTGGAGGATGTTGCTTCACTGGCCCAAGTTGGCACCATCATTGTGCTCTTCCCGGGCGAGGCAGATCAGTCGCCAGCTTCTGGATGGCCACTCACTGCGGCTGCTGGCCGCTGGCTACACATGGTAGCTCATGGCAACCCATTGCCACAGGGGCTGAGCCTGCGCCACCACCGGTGACTCACGGCAGCCCAGCTCCAGGTTGAGCTGTTGTTCAGCATCTTAGCTGTAGAGGGCAGTGTCACTGGCCCTCATATGTGGGATCCGAACCGGGGCCCTCTGGCATCCCAAGCCAATTCTTAACCAACGCGCCACTCGGCCGGCCCCTGTATTCTGTTTTAATTTGCCTTTCCAGCAAGTAACCTGATGGTTACATTTCACTGTTAAGTTATGGAGTCAAAACGAGGGTGTGTGTGTGAGGGGGAGCGCATGGAGGATGGCATTGCTTATTTTACAGGATAGCAGAATTGGGTGGAGATGGCAAATTGAGTTACTAGGGAACCCATGTACCCAGTGGAGTCTCAGAGCACTCTGTCCTCACAGCTACCGTCCTACTGGAAGGAAACCTCAAGTCCTACAAGTACTTACCTGAGGCACAGCACTCATGCAGGTGCTCCCTCAGGTGTCGTGCCTATTTTCATATAAGTGGACTCATACTGTCCATGTCCTGACTTTATGGTGGGGACTTCCTTATCTACACGTGTTAATGACTGTGAACTACTGTAGCTGATTTAACCATTGGTAATTTAGGCCTTTTTCTTTTTGGGGGGCATTACAAACAGTGCTGTGTCTCTGTGCACATGTGACGGGGGAATTGTGCCAAATCAAAAGGGAATGGACAGTTTAAATTTTGATAGATACTACCATTTGCTGTCTAAAAGGCTATCATTTTGGCCAGCTGTGATTGAAACAGCCCTTTAATACATGCTGTGGTCCATATGAGTGGGGAAAAAGTCACCTCATTTGCATTTCTGATCATCAGTGAGGTTAAAATCTTGAATGTTTACTGTCCATTTATAGTCTTCTGTGAATTGACTGTTGAAATTCTTTGCTTATTTTTCTACTGAAATTTTTTCTTACTGGTGGAACTTTTGTATATAAGAAACATTAATCCCTCTGTCTCTGATTTGTCTTTGAACTTTGTTATGGTGTCTTCTGCCATAAAGAAGTGTAACATTTTTATGTAAATATGCCCATCTCCCGTTGCCCTGAGTTTTATATCTTACTTAGGAAGACCATTCCTACTTCAATGATGCAGTAATTTTTCTAAGATTTTTGTGGCTAAAAGTTTTATCTTTAATTCAATTAATTTATTTTGTGGTATAGTATGAGGCAGGCACCTGATTCTTTTTCCCAGATGGGGAAAAAGATCACACTACCATTTATTGAATATTGACCCTTTTCTCATGGAGGCAGAGGTACAAGACATCAACCTGTTTTTTTATGAAAGCTTGTTTGCTCATTAAATTCTATAAACCATATTGGAACCTTAATCAGACCTTGACTTGGCTGTCCCAGTGTAGTAAGACCCTAAGTTTTAGTCTTCAGAGTGTGTGAAAATTAATTCAAGCGTTTTACTTTAAAGGCTGATGTATTGCGTTCTGTTTGGTACTTGCCCTGGTTCGAATTGCAGTGCCAGCTTCTCTTTTTAATGAACTATTCTATGATATATGTCAATTTTTAATGCCAACTTTATTCTCCCCATCAGCCGGTAGGCTTTTCTGGACCGCCTCTTATAGTTAACTAATTTGTGTATAGAAACTTCAAATTAACTTACATGTATGTGTAATCTGGTACACTCACTTTGAAAATGTGACATGAAAGCTACTTAAAGCCACTGCACTTTGGTTGCAGGCATGGGTGACCAACACTTGACTGACTACCACCCTACACTTGGGTGGGTGTTGTGGGGTGCCATCTTGTTGAAAACGAGTCACACTTGGCTGTTAATAACAAGTGCGATTTGAAAGAGGGACTAATTTTATACTTTATTTCTTCCTGGGAGAAAAATCTTAATGTTCTGTTTATTAAAGGTAAAGCTTTTTTATTGCTGACAGTAATTTGTTTCAGTGAAACTTGGTAGCTTTCCTTTGTGTCTCAGGCATTTTCCTCAAGTTGTGCATTTGTTTCCCTCATACTTCACGCTGTTTTCCCTCCATTTCAAAGCCCATAAGGCTGCTCCTAGAGCCTGCAGGAGGGGCATCTGCTGGCCTGATGGCCTCTGGGCCCCTCCCAGCCTTCTCAGGACCGCCTCCTCTGGGACCCCGCTAGGACAGCGAATCGGGTCCTGGACCTGTGCCTTACGCTCCAAGGCGAAAGACTAACCTTTTTCCTACATCCTACAGCTTCGACAACTATTCTGCCAATGTTATGGTCGATGGGAAACCGGTGAATCTGGGCTTGTGGGATACTGCTGGACAAGAGGATTATGACCGATTACGTCCCCTCTCCTATCCGCAGACAGTAAGGATCATGGCTGGTGTTTAACGTGTCCTTTAAAGTGTACAATCCCTGAGTGTTTAGTGATTGCATGTCACCTATGGATTTGTTTATATGTTCTACGTCTGGGGTATGCTGAGTATCGCAAATGAAGTGAAATTGGTTCAGGAGTGCACAGCCCCCTCGATACAAAGCAGGGTTTTGTTTTTATGTTCTGAGCAGTTACTGACACAGTGCTGTGCAGTTTACATTGTCATTTAGTTGAGGACAGCTGTGTGAAACAGGTACTGTTTTGTTTCTGCAAACCAGTTTTAACAAGTTAGTTTCAAGATAGTTAAGATTGTGGTTCCTTTAGGTCAAGTTAGTAACTAATCTTGTGGGTTTAATACTATTTTTTCTATAAAACATGCTTATTTTCTATGGCTTTAGTACTTAAATCTTCTCAATGTAGATCGAGGTTTCAGTTTTATAAAAAATGTGTTCATTGTGTCCAGTCAGAAAAACTTACCTTTGCTTCTATATCAAACAGCTAAATCTATTTACCAAAGCTAGAGCAGTAGCTGGTGAAAACATGGTTAGAAGCCACTTGTCTTTAAATAAGCAATTGTCTTACTTGTATCCTTTGCTTATCTTGTTACATGTTTGTTCTTCCTTTTAAAAGTGTATTTTCAAACAACTTTGGAGACTTTGTGACTAACTGGCAAACCCAGTATAGAGGCAGTTGAGCAAATTCCTTGGGTTCAAATCCCTTTGTCTCTCTTATTAGCTGTGTGACCTTGGGCAGCTTTCTTCATCTCTGATCTTGACCTTTCTCTGGAAATGACACGAGTTAATACTCATAAGCACTACAGGCACATTGCAGACACCCCAGGCTAGATGCTGTTGGGGTTCCTCCTCTTTCTTATGTAGGTGTATTCATCTGGAGGGCTCCTCAGCTCAGAGGCAAACCCAAATTCCTGGAAGTTGTTTGTGCTCTCAGCAAGAGGGGGCTGGCCACAGGGGTTAAGGTCAGTGTCAGGGCGACATCCAGAGAAGGCAGGCTTTGATCCTTTGATTGATTTAACCATCATTGTCTTGGGAGGGAGTGCAGGTGAAAAACAACTAATTAGTTCCAGGCTACTGAAATCTTATTTTTTGTTTTTAAATTAACTTCCTATGTAGTAATGATAGTTTTAAACTTTTGAATGCAGCTTTTTCCATGCAATAGTCATTGTCTTTTTTTTTTTTTTTCCTGTTAGAGGAATTGCCAAATACGATTTCTTTGAGCTATAGGTTTTTGATGATCGGCCTTGAGCTGAATTCTGGTGACAGTGCTAAACAAAGACCAAAACTCTAAAATTGGGGGCGGGGGGGGGGGTTGGGGGTTGAATTGCATGGTTTTTCAGTTAATCTCCAGTTAAAAATTAACTAAGTATACAAACCAGCCAATTTACAAATAGTGCCAGTTCATCAATATGTTTAGGAAACTGTTCCATACGAGCGGTGCTCAGTAATTCCAGGTTGTAAATGGATTTGCAAACATACTGGTTGGTTGAGGAGGAGTCTCCTGCCCCCTGGATACGTGTAGAAGGGCGGGGTGTCACTCAGTCATGGCATGTGACTCAAAGGGTTGGGTGTGCCCTTTTTCTCTGAGGGAGTCACTTGCGGTAAGTCACAGGTGACTTGGCGAGAGGCCTGCTTTGTGCCTAAGAACACAGGCAGTAACCAGCTGAGTCAGGCTGTGGTGACGAGGCTGAAATCGAGTGGCTGTTGTCCTTCTGGAGCCAGGACTTGGACTGTGATGTCACATTCTGTGAGGTGAAAGGATGGCTTCCTATCAAATACTGAACAGCAAACGGAGCAAGACATGCTTCTCACCCTCAGGTAGCTCACAGGTACCTTGTACCCGCAGAAGGCGCATGCGGGACTGCTGAGGAGCCCGAGAGACAGCACCCACGCAGCGGTGACAGGCCTCCTTTGAAATGAGGACCTTTTCTTGGCTAATGGGGGGCCAGGCCCCAAGTGCTGAGGGACCGCCGCCTGGAAGATCTCCTTCCCTTCCTCTGAGCCGTGCTGTCTTTCCAGGAGGATAGGCTGCACCTTAATTTCTCTCTGGCAAAGGGGAAGAAGGCTAAACTTTGTGCCAAGTGGAACATGGTCTTGGCTGTTGGCTTCGTGGTCCGCAGGCCTGTTCACGGCTCATCCATGACTGCTCAGACCCACTCTGGAAGGGCCAGTTGGCAGACGTCTTATCTGAGGTGTCCTGAAAAGGGATGCTGTGTTTCCTGAGGCCATTTGATGCTGGCATCCTTTGCCGTTGGGTAGCTCTGTGTAGCTAAGTCCTATCTGTTTAAACCATTAGTTTCTACTTCATTTTTCAAAAGATGGTGAGCAAATAGTCATCCTCGTCAATATAAATTGCCCTTCAGCCTTTTATTTTTCTAAATTAAGTAATCCTTAGGGCTTTTCTGTCCTTAATGAATTATCTTTACCTTCTTTTTAAAATATTTTGTAAGCTCTGCATGTTTACCTTCATTCAGTTGGCGTGCTCAGAAGCAAGGTGTGATCTGAGTAGTACTGGAGCCCCCATGGCGCAGTAGGTCCGGTCACCTGTGAGTGGGGACATATGTGATTTGCCCGAGTGTGTGTGCTGTGAGATGCACGCTGCCGTGGTTGGTTTGCTTAGATCTGCTGGCTTCTGTTCGGGTCAGCCAGCACTCCAGTGTGTCATGCCAGTATCTTCATTTTCTGTGTGTGATGTGAGAAGGGTTTTAAAGTCCAGGGCTAGATTACTGCAGTATCAGAGAGGAAGAAAAACCGCAGCGTTTAGCTTGACTGTTTTGATTTTCAAAAGCCTTCAAGCACTTGTTAGGCTGGCTGTTGCAGCATTAGTGTTCTGCAGCCAAAGCTCTTGAGGAACACAGCTGTGGTTAAATAGAACGGGGGCTGTTACTCTGTCCCGATGGAAACACACACTTTGGAGGACTGGGGTGAGTGTGGACTTCTGTTGTGTGATTTGGGCGAGGGCTCAGGGAAGCAGGGATTTGCTCGGGCTTGGATGCTGGCAGGAAGCAGGGTAGTTCTAGGGTTGGGTATTTTAATAAACTTTACCGAGTAGGTGGAGATGGAGCAAGGCTAAAGCTGTGATTGGTACAGAAGTATCACACACTCGCCTCGGCTGGAACGGGGGATGTTTGGTAGTTTGCGTGTGACCCTGTATTTGTTTGTGCTTAAACAAGATTGTGGAGCCGTCTTCTGTTTCTTTCTTTCGGTCTCAGTTTCAGCTCGGTCACACAGTCCCTTTTCTGCTGTTGGTGTTCTGGGACATTGTGTTATTCCACACAAACTTGCTGTGGCAGCGCAGTGGGTGCCAGGCCCACTCCCAGGTGGCGAGCTGCTCTTCTCGTCACCCTCAGCGTGGTTAGCGCCATTCTGATGACACGTTTGCAGCTGCTTTTCTCTGCCGTTTGTGTGCCCTGTATTTTTTCTGGTGCATGGAATGCCTGTATTAAAAACTATTCCAAGGCTGGAACTAAAACCCTGGTGGAAAGCATTTGAAAGAGAAAAAATGAAAGCATGAGAAATGATAGCGCTTTTGGAATGGTGAGATTCCAGCCACCCAGAGGTCTGCCCGCTCTCACTCTGCTAAGGCCCACTTGTTTTTTTGGGGATTGTGCCACTGACAGATAGGGAGGGGGCAGTGTTTAGAACTGCTGTGCTTTTGACCAGTGAGGGAGAGCAGGTTTGCGAGACAGGAGTGATCGAGTCACTGAAGGCCCACTGGGAGTTGGCACGGTCAGAAATGACAGCCAATGTAAGGAAAGTAGCGTTCAAGTCCAGAGGAAAGGTGGGCCTGTGGCCTTGACAGCTCAGGTGGACTAAAGAGGCTCCAGAACACACAAGTGACCTGGAGGAAAGGAGGGTGCGGCCACATCATGGGTAGCCGTGCTGGGGAGTTCTGAGTGTCACAGGACAGGTGTTCAGATAGAGGGACCTCCGGGCAGAGACGAGCAGCATAGACAGCACGGTGTGTCAGGGCCAAACGCAGAGGTCGGAATAGTCAATGTCAGGTTAATAGCAAAAGCGTCAGAAATGTTTCCTTAAAACCATATTTATTGGGGGAAGAAAATGGAAGGAGGAAGGAACAGGCAGATGGTGTAACGTTAACGAAGGATGGAAAGCATGTTTCTTAATCAAAAAAGATGTTCTTAAAAATTGAAAAGGGTAGAACAGCTGTGGCTACAGGACATTTTGAAGCTGAGTCTTGTGGCCAATCCATCCCCACGAGTCCCTGTGTCACAGTGAAGACTGGCATCACATCAAGGCCTTGACGACACATCTTCACCAATAGTCAGAGATTGAACCTGGGAGTTACGCGACCTCTGATTTGTGAATCAGAGCAGCTTGAGTGAGAGGAAATTAAGATAATTCTCTTTTCTGTCTGTCTCTGAAACAGTTCCAGGGACTCTGTTGAATTCTAGGGTTCTGTGTTGCTACAAGAGCAAGTCTTTCCATTTTGGGGGGACAAAGAAATGAATTGAAAGCATTGTGATGAACACTGGACATGCTGTCACTTCTGGGCCACATCATCCAAATCTGCAGGGGGCAGGGACTTAAAGGTCCCAGTGCAGCAACACTGTTTGTCTCAGTAAAAATGCAGGTCCCTCAGCTCAGAGCCCACTCCCAGACCTGGGGGGAGGACACGACCAGCATTTCTGCACAGGCAGGACACTTGTCATGGTCACAGCTCTCAGGCCTGGCCCTGTTCCCAGACAGCCTTTCGCCGAGAGGCCTGATTCACAGACAGGTTCCTTTGCCATTTGCTGTGGCCTCACTGGGCTCGTGTCTGAGAACTTGGATGGAGATCTGTGAAAGGTGAGCTGTCGCTAATGGATGCTAGTGACAGACAGCACTAAGAGCATGCCTTTGTTGAGGGAGGGAATGAGCATAAACTTCCTGGGCAAAGGAACCCACTGTGTTTGCTGCCCTGGGGGAGCGCCCATCTCCTCCCAGTATTTACCTGACCTCTGCCCACCACCGTTGACCTTTACACGGTCCCTCCTTTATGCCGCCTTTGCCAGGTTGGTTGGTGGAGTGTTTGGGTGGTATTTGGCATCATAGGCCTGTGAGATCATTATTTGCTTCCAGATCAAAACCTTGGGAGGGTTGAGACAGAATTCTGATGAAGAACAAGTAACAGGCTGTATTGATTTTTGTTTTCCTTAGTTTTTACTAAACTCAAACAAAGTTCTCATGCATTACTAGGTTGAAGCGTACGGTAAGGATAGAACCTCCAGGGGCAAAGACAAGCCGATTGCCGTATGTAAAACTTTCAGTCGACTTCAGTTTCAAGCTTTATCTGTTCTCTCGTTTCATAGTTTTCCTAGGATTTCTGTTGAGCCTCATGTTCCTTGAGTGTCTTATATTTAATTCACTCAAGGTTGGGGTTTTGCTTGATGACACATGCTTTCATTAGAGCGTGGCAGTTTACCTACTAGCTTGAATCAAAGTGGTTCGGGAACTGCTTTCTTCCCACCTCCCTAGTGAAAGGAGGAAGAGAGAGGCCTTGAGAAAAGGGCCTCTCCCCAGGGTGGTGGAGATGGAGACCTGGAAGGCTCCCCACAGGCCCTGTGCCTGGCCGGGCAGGACTAACCAGGGCTGCCAGGGCCTCCTCCGCTGTGGTGTCCCGGTGCCTTGGCCTGTCTGGGTGTGGCTGTGGGCGGCGCTGGTGAGCTAACCCCACTCTGCTTTGAAGTGTCCTAATCAGCTCAGGTGCCGAAATGTTGCGGTGATTCTTGGACAAGCTTGTGCATGCGCTAGCATTTTGAAAACCTTCATCAAAAGCTGTTATGTAGGATGTTTCTTTCCTTTTCAGGTACAAGATATCAGCTGGATGATTGAAAGTGTTAGCTTGGGATTGGGTACATTTCACAAAGTAGCGTAATTGCCATTTTCCAGGAAAATGTTTTATAAACTTAGTATTTTAGAAATGCATGGGCATTTTTTAATGCAGGCAAATATTAAGACTTTTCACACAATGCAGAATGGGAGAAACAACCCAGATATTTTACGTTTAGCCAGAAATTCTTCCAGGTACTTATTCTGCATCTACTTCTTCCTTTGACTCTACTTCAACTACAACTTCCCGTGGCACGCTCTCCAGATGCCATGTTTGGGTGCAGGGGTTGTGACAGCTAGGAAGACATACACCACTTACACATTAGACCAGCCTATATCATGGGGAAACGTGTTCATTTAGCAAATACTTGAGCCCTGGTCTGGGCCAGCGACTGTGATGGCAGCTTTTAGGAAGCAGTTTAATTAGAGCCCAGCAATCATCCAAAAATGTTTATACTTAACATGCAGACAAGGAGTTTGATGACAAGCATACCGTTTGTAGATAATGTTTTGAGAAACACCAAATTTTACAGAACTATTGTAGTAGTACCTTGAACTTGATTTTGTCCCTGTGTATAACAGACCATTAGGTTCCCAGTGGGACTTGGAGATGATGGAAAAGAAGCCCCCTCCGGGGTCTGATTTGATGTCTCTGGGCTTCAAGTAACTTGTAGCATATTCTGCTCTCCACTTGCCCCCTTCTGACATATAACTGGTTGCTTCATGTGCTGGTTCTGGTGTGGGAGCCATCCAACAAAACCCAAGGGGTGTATCCAGGGAGTGAGCTCGGACACGGGCCGTGGTGCTAGTGCATGCACTTGGCCAATGAGTCATCCCCAGCAGCATTTAGAAAGCGAATGTGTTCATTATTGTGAGGTCATCTTCTAAATGCCTCCCTGTGTTTCCTTTTTATAGGATGTATTCTTAATTTGCTTTTCTCTTGTGAGTCCTGCATCATTTGAAAATGTTCGTGCAAAGGTAAGTGGGAATTTTTTAGAAAAATATTGTTATATAATGTCACTTTCAGGAAGAAACATTTAAGAAATAAAATACCATTGACTGATAGAAATTTTCCATTATTTAAATTGGTTTTAGTAATTCTAAGGCAGATAATCAGCTTTTTAAGTATATGACTTCAGTATGCAGAATTCTAAAGTTTCAGACTCTGATTCAGAAGTGCTGTGCTTCTTGTTAAAATAACGAAGCACTTGGGAGTTGGTCTAATAAAAATAATGGCCATTACTTTTACTCGTGCATCTTTCACAAACTTAGTGGAAATGATACATGCAAGTCGCCCCTTCCATCGTAAGTGATTGGTGTGGTAATGGCGACAACTGAGACCTCGGTCCAGATAGTTTCTTATCCCTGAATATATTTTCCAAGCTGATCTAAGCACTTGACTCATTGTACCAAAAACAAAGTGGATTGGGGTGGGGGAGACCTTCCCTTCCTCTTTCCCTCTTGCTCTTACTGACAAGTAGCACCTATGTTGTGGGGTTGTTAATCTTGGGAGTCCTGCTTCCTAATCAAACACGCACAGGTAGTCCCGTGGTCCAGGTGGCCCCGTGTCCAAGGTAGTCCTGTGGTCCTTGAAGGTGTGAGTAAGGCTGGAGAGCAGGCGCAGTTTCCTGCATGAAGGCCCGTAGGGACGCAGTGACAAAGGGGCAGTGGACACATTTTTGCAAGTGTGTGGCTGTAATTTAGGACGTTCATAAAGGAGAATGTCATAACTTTTTTCCTTTCTTCGAATCTAGTGGTATCCTGAAGTGCGACACCATTGTCCCAACACTCCCATCATCCTGGTGGGGACTAAGCTTGATCTTAGGGATGATAAAGACACGATTGAAAAACTGAAGGAGAAGAAGCTAACGCCCATCACCTACCCACAGGGCTTAGCCATGGCTAAAGAGATCGGTATGAACTGCATTTTTCATGTTCGCTTTGGACATATTTTCATTTTCGTGATAGAGACGGGGGTCCAGTCTGGGGAAGTGGAGAGTGTTCTGCCCACTCAGGGTGTGGCTTACTTTGGGGGAACCAGTTAAACAAGGCCCGTGGTGTTCAGTGCTTGTAAGGAGATGGGGTTAGGCGTTGCCCTGCTGTGCTTCGCCTGCTGGCTGCCTCGCCCATTGTGCTCAGAAAAGGGGGGGTCAACACGCACACTGCCACGGGGCTAAGAGGCTGTGTTTCTCGGCAGGTGCTGTGAAGTACCTGGAATGCTCGGCCCTCACACAGCGCGGCCTCAAGACAGTGTTCGATGAAGCCATTCGAGCCGTGCTCTGCCCACCTCCTGTCAAGAAGAGGAAGAGAAAATGCCTGCTGTTGTAAAATGTCTGGGCCCGTCTCCTGCTGCCCTGTGCCCTTGGAACCTTTGTACGCTTCGCTCAAAAATGATGGAGCCTTCGCACTCAATGCCAAGTTTTTGTTACAGATTAGTTTTTCCATAAAACCATTTTGAACCAATCAGTAATTTTTAGGTTTTGTTTGTTTAAAGTGTACAAGTTCAAACTTTCACATTCTATTAAAATTCAGCCCCAAAATGACAAGCTTTCTTAAGGCCTTATTTTTCAAAAGCCCCTATTCTTGCTCAGAGTAAGAGTTGCCAAAATACCTTGTGAACTAAATTGCATTGTTTTGCTAAGAACACTAAGCACTAAACTGTTTAAAGACTTTTGTCTTTAAGATGTAGCTTCTGAAGTTAAGAAAGGCAGACACTTTGTAACTCATTTCACACAGGAGCAGTACAGCTTCTTCTGAAATGTTGCCATTGAATGCATTGATAATTGATCAACCCATGTTCGCCTAACATTGTACTGTATGTCACAATGGAGTGAGTGCAACGACTCAACTCTTTGGATTGATCTTCTTGATTTCATAGTGAGATTTTTTTTTTAATGTTAGTGTATTAGCTTTTGCTGAGATTTTAACAGAACTCTTACGTGTCCCTCTGAGGAAGTATTCTGCCCTAGCCATGGGTGCACTGGGGTGGAGGGGTGGGGGACACTTGATGGGATCAAAAGACAAAGACAGTATTTCGACAAAATATGAAGTGGACATTAATTTACACTACATTGTACACGTAATAATTAAACTGAATAAAAGTGTCACGGGTAAAATTTTAAAAACGTTAATTTCTGTCAAATGTAGATGAAGAAAGTTGGTATTAATCAGTTAATCAGTAAGTGTTTTCTTAAGCTTTTCCTTTTTTTTAAAACCTGCAGCCCCTCCCAAAATTGGGCATTTAATTCATCTTTGAACTGGTCATTCCCATAGTTGCTAACTTAGTAAGTGCTTTTCTTATAGAATCTAATGAGCAATATGCCTCCTTGTATTATAATTTTTCTTGATAATGCATTAGAAACTTTTTTTGTAGAGTAGTAAAAGTGCATTCCTGTTTTCATGTTACTTTATTCAAGCTAATAAGTGCTTTCCTTAGTTTTCTAGTAACTAGATGTAAAAATCATGTGTTGCATCTTTACGGTTTTTAAAATATTTTAGATATTCTTAAACTATGAACCTTAACATCACTGTCTTGCCAGATCACCGACCTGTACCCTGACTAACGCTGACACTCCTGCCATGCCCGCGTAGGCACGCTTCCCGTGGCTCTGCCTAACAGTGTTCCCTTGGGTCTGTGGGGTTGTGTAAGCCCCGTGCTCGTGCTAACGGAGTTCCCTACATCTTACCCACTGGCAAGAATACAAGGTTGGACCTTTCAACCACTAGAAAATTTTTTAAATTGACAATTGCAGGATTGTGGAGTGTTTTTACATTGATCTTTTGCTAATGCAATTAGCAGTATGTTTTGCATGTATGACTTAATAAATCCTTGAAACATATATGACTGGCACTATGTGAATTCTTAAGAGCTTCGTGAACAACAAATAATGTATGTTTGCCTCAGCTGAAAATGCTGGGTTGTTGAAGTTCATTTTCAGTGTGTGTTTTCCAGCTGGGGGACGGGGAGTGAGTGGCCCCTCCAGGGGGAGAAGATAGATGAGTCAGCAAACAATGGGGGATGGTGTTTGGTTTCATACCTGTTAAATGTTGGCAAGACAATGCGATGTCCATCTCGGCCAGGGCTCTGGGCTGAAAATGAGATGCTGGGACCCGAGTTGGCATCTTGGTACGGCAGAAGCTGACTATAGGGCTTTAAGATCCTTTTTAGAGCCTGAAATTGTACTATAAATAGTTCATGCTAGAATCCATTTTCTAAATATGTTTTTATTGTTTTGAAAAAGCAATATTTTGAGTGTTTTAAACCAAAGGTAAATAAGCTGTTTAAAGACCAAATCATCCTAAAGGTTTGCTACAAAAACAGCAGTCTTCCCCTTTCACACCCTCCCCAGAAGCAACTACTTTGAGTTCTAATTTTGGATTTGTCGCCACATGTCTAAATCATAGGCTTCCTTTTTTTTTTTTTTTTAACTTACTAGATCACCAGCTTATTAAAAAAGGATATAACTCAGGAACAGCCAGATGGAAGAGATGCTGGGGCAAGGTGTGGGAAAGGGGCGGACCTCCCGTGCTGTCTCCCCAAATCTCTGGGTGTTTGCCCACCTGGAAGCTCTCAGGACCCCATCTTGCAGGTTTTTATGGCGGCTTCACCACATAGGCAGAATTGGTTAATGTAACAATCTCCAGCTGTTGTCTAAATCTCTGAAGATGTTCAGATGTTTTATGTGTTTCATCAGTTTTCATTTTCAGAGTCTCCGAATCCTCTGACCACCATTTCTCTTACATGTTCATCTTTTGTTGCCTACGCCAACTCCTTGTTTTTCAATTTACTTCCTCATTTTGATGAACAGATTTTCCAAGAGCTACCTGAGAAGGAGTATGTGGGAATTCTGGTTTTGAGCCCTCACATCTTTGAAAATAACTTCATTCTACCCAGATACTTTTTGGCTGGGTCTAAAATCCCAGGTTGGAAATAACATCAGATTTTGGGAGGTGGTTCTCCCAGTGTCTGCCTCGGCCATTTCCATTGCAGGGGGAATGCTTTATTTACAAGTCTTATGGGACTTTTCCCTTTGTCTTCCATATCCTGGTGTTTATCCCTTGTGCTCTATGGGCTCTTTCCATCTGGAAACACACATCTCCCATTATTCAGGTATCCATTTGTTGTTGATTTCATCTTCCATGCGTTTAACTTTGATTTTCAGGTGTTCTTTTTTTATTCTCTATAAATACCATTTTTCAGCCCCATGGGTCAGTGTTGTGGTTGCAGCACCGTCTGTTCCCAAGCTGTGGCTGGGGTCATTCCAAGCTTCTGCATCTTTCTCTTGGCTCCTTGTTCAAGTGTCTGGCAATCCTTGGCTCATGCTTAAAGGTTGAGAACTTTAAACAGACTGGAAATTGAGCACAGGTTAGTCACAGTAGGGCAGTGTGTCTGAAATCTCTTACCTTTGTGCCCTAAGAATATAGGAATTGTTTAAAAACGAAACTTGTAGCAGTTGGACATTACCATGGCATTTCAATGGACGTTTTTTAGAGTCCTGTGCAGGTTTTCAGAAGCTAAGGGGGTCTGGCTGTGACAGCTGAGGTCCTGAGGAGAGGTATCTTGAGAGGTCAGATTTTCCAGGGGGTTCTCCTTGAAGGTCCTGGGAGCTAGCTCAGTGGGAGAAGTTGAGGAACGTCATTCCTAGTCCTCAACTGTGCTGGTGCCCGGCCCTCCTGCCCCCACCCTAAAGCAAATGGAGGGTCAGGTACTCACAGCCTTCACGTTAACCCCCTCATTTTGGGGAGTCCCATCTGCTTTCCTCCCACGTTAAAGGTGTACGGGGAATAGGGGTTGTAAAGCGGGTTTGTTCTTATCTTTCCTTGCGTACTTAGGATTCTGTTTCTCTAGCCTTCTAATCATTCCTGTCTCTTCTTTTCCCCATCCTGTGGGTTTATGCTTTCTAAAGAAATCCCTTTACTGTCATCTTACGGGGCCTCGTGGGGTGGAGAGTGGGGCGAAATAAGATGTGTGCAATCTTCCATCTTCCAGAGGGCCAAGAAAACTCAAGGCTTCATTTTGTTGTATACAGTGGACAGAAAAGATTAAAAGATGACTGCTATAAACGCACCTGGTAAAACAGACCTTCCTGGAAACTTCAGTAGAAGAGAGTATATCTGTACAGACACTAAGGACACGTGTTAAGTGCTTTACTTTTTAAATTCCCTCTGAACCCACTGGCCCAACTCCCAAGAGCAGGGGAGGCGGGGTGGGGGAGGGTTTACATCATGCTGGTGAGCTGGATGTTGGTGAGCTAGCCAGGTAGTGTAAACAGGAACTCTGGTGTGAGGGCAGGAGCTGGTCTCCACTCCCCTTCCTGAACTGGCTGTGTCTTGATTCCCAGTCACAACTCAGGGCTGACCTTAGTGCCACTAGGAGCAAAGCCCAGTCTGCATCCTCACAGCTGAGGACTGTTTGTATAGCCAGGAAAACCCAGTTTGCAAAATAAACTGCACAGTCGTCTGCCAAGTTCAGACTCATCTCAGACACAGGGACAAGACCCTGTCAGTGAATGTGGCCTGAGGGGTGGGAGTCTACAGATCCAGGAGGGCTGTAACCCTGGCTGCTGGGCCCCCTTTCCTGGGCAGTTCTCAGAAGCCGAGGAATCAGCAGGCCACTGGGGAAGGAGCATTGCTGACACTTCGCACATTCATTCATCCCATCACCTCAGTGCTCTCCTGCCTCCTGATTCTGATAATACTATGATCAAAATTATTTCTCAGATTACTCATTTAAACTCAGATTCAGTGCCTTTCAGAGTTCTACGCCACACCAGTGTCATGGGGTTCACTCGGATGGTAAGTCACGTTAAGAACAGCGGTGTGAGTCCCAGCCCACTGTCCTGGAATCTAGTTACACCATGTCCACGTGAGCGCCCCCATGGGCCTGACAGGACACGCAGGCAGGCCTGTCGGCCACCACACTGTCCAAGGCTCTCATCAGGATGTCCGGCATGTGGTCTGTTAGCATCTTTGGGCCGATGAGTATTTTGTTGAATTCTGACTCGTGTGACCACTTTGCAGTATACTGAGCAGTGTAACAGGAAAACCTGAAAGAAAAATCAATAGCAGGGTACCACTTGGGTTTAACTCCACACGTTTCTTTACTGGGGGTGCATGGACTGAGCCATTCCGGCCCCTGCTGCCTGCACTCACCTCCCTGAAGTGCCCTCTTCCTCCAGGTGGATGATCCTGCCAGGCGGGTAGAGAGGTGGGTACTTGCTGGGGGACTCCAGCGGGGAGTCACTGGAGAAGCTGTATGCTGGGGACCCGTGTGTCAGCAGACTCTGCTCCCCAAGAAGAGGCTGTGTCAGGTCTCTCTGGTCGCCCCCATCCAGCTCTGTCGGAAAGTTATCGGGGTCCCCTCCAAACAGCTCATACCAGCATCCGTACAGCAGAATCTTGTACTGAGGGCGAGACACAAGAAGGCAGTGTGCTTGTTACGCAGAGGCTTTCACCGTCACCACAGACACCTTCTTGGACCCAGAGCTGGTGCCAGGTGACAGCAGCCCTGAGAATCGCACAAACGTCTACCTGGTTTATTTTACATGATGGATCTTAGGGGTATGGAGGTCAGTGGGCCTAAGCTCAGGTGTGTCGGGCAATCAATCCATCACACCAGAAGCAATGTTTAAAAACCAGATCATGCAGGGCCGGCCGAGTGGCGCGATGGTTAAAAACTCGCTTGGGACGCCAGAGGGCCCCGGTTCGGATCCCACATATGAGGGCCAGTGACACTGCCCTCCACAGCTAAGATGCTGAACAACAGCTCAACCTGGAGCTGGGCTGCCGAGAGTCGCCGGCGACGGCGTAGGCTGCAGCCCCTGTGGCAGTGGGTTGCCAGGGGCTACCGTGTGTAGCCAGCAGCCAGCGTGAGCGGCCAGCAGCCGCAGTGAGCGGCCGTCCAGAAGCCGGCGACTGATCTGCCTCGCCAGAGAAGAGCGCAATGATGGTGCCAACTTGGGCCAGTGAAGCAACGTCCTCCACAACTAGACTGAAGAACAAAAGGACAGCAACTTGTCTGTTCCCCTTCCCCCAATTCCCCAGCACTGTTCCCATCCTCCCAATTCCCCAATAAAAATCTTTAAAAAAACAAAACAAAACAAAACAAAAACAGATCATGCAGATATTGAGGGAAAATTACCCTAAATTCTTTTCAGTAATTCTGCAAACCAGTTTTACTCTTCCCTATAGACATTACATAGTTTTTAAAAACTGGATGGGGGAGTGGGTAGTTTATAAAGAGAAAGTTTACATTTTTAATATTTTTTCTAATAAAAACACAGGAAACAAAGGTTAAGAAGCAGAAATCATCTGTAATCCCATGATCTAAACAGAATTACATTTTGATGGGTTTTTTGGTCATATATCTCTTCGTTACCTCCCCTGCCTTACAGCGTGCCTAAGAATCATTTTTAAGCCTGTCTTTAAAAAAACAAACAAACAAACAAAAACTTAACAATACATCATGGCTATCTTTCTCTATTGGTAGATATAAATGTCACTGTTTTTAATGACTGCATAATATCCCACAGTATAGATATACCATTACCTCTTAAACTCTGTACTTGGCAGCCTCCTTTTCTAAGCTTTGGAACCAAAGACGACAGATACATACCATTGGTCACAAGACGCTAAGAGAAGTATGACAGAAAGCAATCACTTCCCTGGAACAGGGATGGTTCTATTATAGTGCTGGGTTGTCGGAAAAGTCATGACATATTTTTTCTGTTTTTCGTTGCAAAAATGCATGATGACTTTTTCGACAACCCAGTATTTTCTAATTATGGTATTACATGTGCTTGATTTAGCCATTTGCTTTCTTAGACATCATCTATAGAACAGCAGACAAAAGTCTGTACAGAGGGTAGAAAGAGCTTCCAGCAATGGGTCAAATGCCCTGGGCTAAGAGGCTTTGCATTTAAAAACCCCCTCTCAAGCCACTTACAGCCTCATTGGGGGGTGCAAATTCCTACAGACCTTCTGACGGGGCACAGTTACCTTGGGCTTATTACAATGAGCAATCACTCGCAAGATTCTCTTCTTCAAATCTTCCAAGGTGGTCACACTTAACCTGTTTAGCAAAAGATCAGATGGAGGCTCAGTACTTAGCCTGTTCAGCTACTCCAACCCCAGATGAAGCGTCCAGCAGACTCACCGGGGAATCACATCCTTGCCCAGGACAAGTGACACAGTGAAGTTCTTAGAGTATTCATAAAGAGATTTGCTGAAATTTCAAAAGAAGAAGTAGCTTAGTTTTATGATTATATTGCCCACAGAGGGCTTCAAAGAGAAATCAAGTGACTGCCAGGTCAGTGACAGGTCAGTTTTCATACCTTTGTTCTCTACCCCCTAAAGGGGAAGAGAAATAAAATGGAAGCTCCAATTAGAGCAACTCACCTGCTAGATTGTATGTAGTAAAGCCACAACATACAGCAACAGAGATGAACCACAGCTAAAATTCTAGCCAAATCAAGACCCGCAGACCAAGCAAGTACATACAGCCTGTGACCCAGCAACCCCACTGGGAGGAACCTGACAGACACTGGCAAAAATGTACAAAGACGGATGCAAAAGGCTACTCATTGCAGTTGTTACAAAGCAGAGGCTGGGAACAACTCCAGCATCCACCCAGAGAGCTGTGTTCAATTCATAAACGACAGCGCATCCACAGAGGGCCGAGGCCTTGGCACCTGTGAAAGCCCCAGGGTTATCTGTACTATTGTGATGTGACTGCAGAACCCACTATTCCAGTTAAACAACCAGACGCAGTACAGCAGGTACGGTACGCCACCTTACACTTAAGAAGAGGAGAGGGATACAAAGATGATGAGTCAAAATATTAAAAATGGCTCCGTCTGGGGATAGAGAAGACACGGGGAATGGGTAGAATGTGCATTTCCCTGAATGTACCTCACTTTGTAGAGTTGTCTTTGGAACCATGCCATTGCTTAATATAATTATGCAACAGAACTAAACCAAAATAACCAAAGCAATCCTTAAAGCTAAAAGCCAAATGAAACAAATGAACCTAATAACTCTAAGTGACTTCAAAATAATTGGCTGTACTTCCCTAGTAGCAATGTAACCTAAGAATAAAATAAACTGCAAAGAAATCTCTTAACTACTTGATGTAATATTGGTATTACCATTCTAAAACTATGAGCCATATATATATATATATATATATATATATATATATATATATATATATATATATATATATATATATATATTCTCACACGGGGGTGTGTGTACACGTGTGTATATAAAAGAAAGAAATGCAAATTGTAGGTTAATGTTGACAGAAACCAAGATTTTTATCATAGGAGATAAAAGATACAAAGAATTCTGCTAAAACCAAGTATATAATCAAATAATTTAAGTAAAAACCCTGATCTTTAAATTGGAAGTATCAAAATTAACTCGGAATATTTTTTTTTCTTTGGAATAACAAGCATTTCCTATCTCTTCCTACTGAAAAGGCCAAGAAACTGACTCAACCTGTGGTAACAAGCACCCCATGTGCCCAGCTTATGGTCTCTCAAAACCATTTCCCACTCAATACAGTGCTCCTTGGAGAAACGGTTGATGCCACATACAGAACAGGGCAAAAACCTGAGACTCGTTTGTATAAGAAAGCAGGGGACTACCAGACAGTATGTCACCATGAGAAGCCTAATTTGAAAAGGAGATTCCCACTGGCGAAAGATGGGACAGTGTGAACACCAGCACAACGGCAACTGAATGATACACAAAGATGTTTAAGGTCAGGAGTTTATAAGAACAGTTTACAATAGTAACTCCACCTCTGGAGACTGCTAGGAGACCTGTTCATTATTCTGAACATTGCTAAATAAGGGTAAAGATGCAAGCATTTAGGCATCTATCCTGCTTTTCCTCTGTAAACCATATCTCAGAGTAACCAAATACTTGAAGAGAAGTTCTTTATAATTTTTAACTAATAAATGTAGAACGGATGCTGGAAGTAGAATATCAACACTTTGCAACCTCTAATATTACCTGCTAACATCAGAGAGAGAGAGACAAGCTGATGTGATGCAACAGGAATTACATACCATTACCAAAATGTATGGTTAAAAAAATACACTTGGAATCTGATCAAGTCTTGACATAATTACCATTTTCAAGGATATACAAACCAAGGGGACAGAGGAACATGTAAAATGACATTGAGTATACAATAAACAAAGTCCAGAATGTGGATTCTCCAGAACAAATAACCTCGTTTCAGAAAGAAAGAGGGGAGGGAAAAATCTATACCTTAGAAGACTTACAAATTTCCCTTGTCCAATATGAGAATCTTGTTTGGATTTGAATTCAAACAAATCAACATTATATCATTTAGGAAATCAAAGCCATGGTCAGACAGACCTATGAAAGGCTATTCATTCTTTCTTCAACTAAATAGTAACTGAAAACAAACTTCTACTGAGGATGAAAAATTATAATTAAATTACAAATTAAAGATTCGTATTAACCATATGGTTTGTACGTAGCCCCCGGTAACACGCAAAACAAGGAAGTACCTCAGCAATCCCCTGGGTGGGGAGTAGGCGTAGCAGCGGACATGTGGGTGGGACTTTCTGAGCATGATGGACAGTAGGGCTGCAGCGCCTGCTCCCAGGCTGTGACCCACGATGACAAGCCGGTATTCCTAGGGGACAAAAGTAGAATGAGTAAAAAGTTAAAAGACCAAACAGCTCATGACAGAGAAAATGAAAGGAAAGAAAAATTAAAACCTCACAGGAGCAAGGCTGAAAGCTTGGCTCAAAATCCCATCGTTGATGAGTCGTCGGTACACGTATCTGGCAGCTTGAGAAATCCCCTAAAAACACAGACAAAGGAGGTGGTTAGTGATTGTCCGACAGGCGGGTTCCACCAGGACAGACAACAGGATTACACTGTACACTTATTTGTGACCCTGTCTCCCCACATAGGAGGTAAGCGTCTCAGGCAGTGGCCATGCCCACCACTTACTGCTGTATTCCTGGCATGCAGCAGGTGCTCAATAAATATTCCCATGAACCAATGGGTGGCATCAGGGACATCTTTCCATGTCAACAGATATTGCTACGGCGTTTTCTGTAGCTACACAGTGTTATGCCGTATGGACATAGCAACTTTTACTGCAGCGAAGTCCCTATGGTTGGTCAGATTTAGATTATAAATGACATTAAAACATAAAGTTCTGAATCAGTGACATTGATTAAGTATGCACTGTTCCTGCAAAGGCAAAACTTAGATGATCAGAAGTGAGGTACAGGGAGGTCAGGTTTTATTTAATTTCAAAAAATAAATAAAATGTAAAACTTCCTAATAAATGTATCTGTCACAGTTTCTTGAAAGTTAAGCAGTTCTAAAAGAGGAGCGACAGTCCTATCCAATATATTTTCGGAGTGCTCCCTACATGGCAAGACAAGACGGGCCTGGCCCCTGTGCTCATACAGCTTGTCCTCTAAAAGTTGGAGGAGGGATTCTAGCAGATAGGAGACTGCTTGATCATCTCTAAAGCTTTGATTCAGTCATTACTGCATCAGTAATTCTGTAAGTCTCTGAGTAGAGCGCTGAACCTGGCCTCACAGAAGAGAAACCAAGAGGCAGTTTGCAGGGTTTAACATTCTGTGTACAACTTGACAGAGCTTGTTGACAAACCACCAGTTTCCTTTACTACCCTGTAAGTATGCAATGCCGTCAACATCTTTCAACATTTATACCCAGTTCCGGGCAGTCAGAACCGAACAGAACCTGGACCACAACTGCTGCTGGGTGGAGTCTCCCTGGGACACACCTTTCAGACAAAATGCCAAGACAGTTTTCAGCTGCAGAGCTTTCAACTCCATTACTGTGGACAGCACCAGAGCCACGCCTGGTACAGTGGAAGCCAAGGGCAGAGACCAGATCATGCATGCCCTTAGGCCTTGAGCAGCTGTCTCCCTGGCTTGAGGGCAAGAGCTGTTACTGGATGAGGCAGTGCTGGAGGCAGCCTCGGCTGGTAAACAGGCCCAGGCGCAAGCGCCATAGCTGTGGTCACTCAGAGCCTTTACCTGCGGGCAAATCCCATAAGAACCAAACCACATAGCCAAGCCCATTCTATGGTTGTCTGGTTACGTGTCTCTATAATACGGTTTAAATTTTTGTTTATTCATACACACCCAATAACAGTTAAACAGGACTCTTTTGTGAATTGAGGCAGCTAAGGGTTAGAGGAAAAAATTCACATTCCTAGGCCTCTCAGGCTTTTTCTGGTGATAGACGAAAGCCTCCACTCTGCCTCATTACTGGAAATGGTCCAGGCAGGACACTGCGTTTCAGTCACCAACAGCTACACTTGCTTTAACACATATTTGCATAAAAATTAAGCATTCTATTTAAAAAATGATTACTACAGAATATATGCTTTGGTTTAAAAAAACCCCATGAGGTATATAAAAACAACACAGGCGCACTGCCCTGCATCCCTGACATCCTGATCGACACCTCCCCAAAGTAGCTGTGGGACCTCTGGGAATCGTCCGCTTTCCCTCAGACATCAGAATACTCCGCTATGCACCCTCATTAGTCATCAGGGACACGCACATCAAAACCCCCACGAGACACCACTTCCCCCACACCCACTCGGGGGTGGCACTAATAAAAAGAACAGAAAGTAAGTGTTGATGAGACTGTGGAGAAATGGGAACTCATAGATTGCTGGGGGAATGCCAAATGGTGCAGCTGTGCTGGAAAACAGTGTAGACGTTCCGTAAACAGTTAGACACAGAATGACCATAAGACCCAGCAGTCCCATTTCGGGGTCTATACCCGAGAGGAATGAAAGCAGGGACAGTATCTGCACATCCACACTCATAGCAATATTGTTCACAACAGCCAAAATGTGAGCAAACCCCAAATGTCCATCGTTGGACAAATGGATAAACCAAAAGGGTATATATACACAATGGGATATTACTCAGCCTTAAAAAGGAAGGAAATTCTAACACACGCTACAACATGGATGGACCTTGAAAACATGATGGTAAGTGAAATAAGCCAGTCATAAAAGGACAAATACCATACGATTCCTCTAATATGAGGTCCGGAGAATAACCAAGCTCAAGGCCGGTAGAACGGTGGTTAATGGGGGTTAGGGAAGAGGAGAGAGTATTCCATGATACAGGATGTATGTTGGCAATAATGAAAAAGTTTTGGTGTAGATACAGCGCATTCTGAATGTATTTAATGCCACTGAATTGTACACTTATAAAAGGTGAAAATGACAAATACTATGGTATGTGCATTTAAAACGTGAAAAAAGCCAACAGCTCTTGGGCAGGCCATGCTCCCTCCCTCAGGGGAGCTCACACAGGCCACCCCGTGGCCCAGCAACAGTGACACAAGGACTGGAGTGTTGCCAACAGCTGCAAAGGGGAATGACACGCAGGAAAGGGCTCCCAGTGTCTGCCTCTCACAGGGGGAATGGGGGGGGGGGCACCTGGCGGGAGGTCTAGTTTGCTCTGTATTGAAACTTAAGTTATTTTTTTTACCATGAGAATGTACTACTTTAGTTACAAGGGAAGAAAAACGTTTGGTTGGGGTTCAAATCCGACTTGGACACTTATTTCAAGAACTGTGTGGCTTCTGGGAAGTCACTTGACTGCTCTAAACCTGCTTCTCTCTCTTAAAAAAATGAAGACCACCACCACCTCATAGGGCTGTCGTGAGACTGCGCTGTAAGAATAAATGCATCTCTGCACAGCACCTGGTGTATAGTAGTTATTTGTTTATGGCTTGAATTAACATGAGAGATTCAGGGTGGGGAAAATTCTGACCCCTTTCAGTTTCTCCTTCACAGAACCTTCCAGACCCCAGGGCTTCTACCTTATGTGCCGAACAGTCTTGCACCTCACACTCTAAGTCCAGGGTCTCGCTCTCCGCTGACAGGTCCGTAAGGATGTCCTACAAAGGTGCATTGAGGAAGAGGCATCAGCTGGGGTGAGTCGTGCACTGTCTGGGGGCACCGTCTCCTGGGTCAGACTGTTGAGACCTGAACCCATAAAGCCTAAATTCAGGAGAGAAACCCAGGTGGCCAGATAGCTCCTGACCTGCAGCACACCCAGCTGTGGGCCAGGCATGAACAACAGGGAGGGGGACCTGGGACTGGGACACGTCTAAGACACACCCTCTGCTCTCCCTCCCCGCACACAAAGCAACTGTGAGCCTGTATGAGGGCTCAGTCAACAGCTCGCTGAAAGAAGGGGGGGTTAAAGAGACACATCAGAAGGAGCAGGGGCCTTCCTGGAGGAGGTGGCACGCGATCCAGACCTGAAGGAAAAGCTCGCTTTCAGAAAGCAGAGGACAGGCAGGCATCCTCACTCAAGGGCATGGCAGGACCCGAGGCAGAGGCACCTGCGCAGGAAGTAGGCAGTGAGCCGCTCAGCAATGGGCGCATGAAGGGGATACGGGCAGAGGGGCTGCCTGAAAGAGGCTGGTGTGTCCCTAGGACCCCGTGAGCCTGGCTCACTGTGGGAGGGGCTCCTCGTCTACACTCTTCACAAAGCCCCACAGGTGCGCTTCCAGGGCTGGAAACCACTGGCCCCGTGCCCAGTGCTGACTGGGAACTGGAAAGGCAGGGTGCGGTCAGGTCATAAAGCGCCAGCAGAGCTGTGATAAGAACCCTGAACTTTGTGTTCAAGCGGTGGGAAGTCCCAGAGGTTTCTGAGAAGGAGTGGTAAGATGTGACCCACGTTCTAACAGAGTATCTGTGAACAGTACTCAGGACAGATTGGGAAGGTGAGACTAGAGACAGGGACCAAGGTAGGAAAGTTTGACTGGCTCAGGTACACAGAACTGGGTCCAGAACGAGGGCTGTGGCACTGGCAACGGGGAGGAGTCAGCCAGAGACAGGCCCAGGCAGGACTCCACACACGACAGCTGGGTAACACGTGAGGAGACACTGAAGACCACTTGGCCCTCTTTCAGTGGGCAGTGGGGGAACACTGCAGTATTACTAGAAATGGGGGTGAGGGCTCTGCTTTCCTCAGTGCCTCTGGGCAGACGGAGGTGGCTCTTTAGGATGCCCATGGGGTCTTAGCCACCAACCAGAGCTGCAAGCCTGCCCCACAGAGCCGGTCAGAGTGCGCAGAGGACGGTGGAGGCTCGAGCTTTGGAGAGTCATTACATTTTCTGGGTTAGCAGAGAAATAAGAACCAGAGACGGAGGAGCAGCCCAGAAGAGACCAGAGAGCCTGACGCAGAAACCGACAGAGGAAAGTTGTCCAGCATCTCCACAGGGCGGAGAAACTAGGCGTGAGCGGGTGGGACAGAGGTTCCTGAGCTGGGGAAAGGGAATGGCCGTTCTCACAGCATCCAAAGGGCAGGTCCTTGGGCACCAGCAGGAGCACTGGGCTGGCTGAGGTCCCGAACGGGAACTCAGGAACTTGAGGTAGAGCTGACAACATGGGACTTTTGACAGCACTACCTAACTTACTGTCCCCTTCTGGCTCTGGGTGTAGAATTTCGAGGGGAAGGTCACCTAAGCTGGAGGCCTGGCCAGGCTCATTGGTGAGTTGAGTGGGCATCCCTGGGCAGGGGTGCGCACACTGCTGGCCTATCTGTTTCTGAGATTTCTCAATTAAAAGGAAACGACTTCATCTGTTTTTTCAAGGAGAATATTTCACAACCCTGGATTCGCTTCCTCATCCTCCGTCCTGGTATTTTCCTGTGTCTGACGCGGGACCTCATGACTGCTTTCGTTCAGTTCCGGCAGAGTACCCACGGCCTGCTGACTGGCAGCCCCTGTACCCAGGCCGACCATGGCAGGCCCCTTACCTGCAGAGACATGGTCCCTCTCACAGCCACCACGACAGATTCTTTCCTGTGATCCAGAGCCACTAAAAAGGGAAGCTCATACACCTGCGGGAGAGAGGAATACGCACGAGGCCTGAGTAACGAGCACAGTACTGATTCAGTGGGGCCGGCTCAGTATCTGACAGGACAGCAATGAAAACCTGGTTCCCGGACAGGGGAAGAAAGGAGCACACGGACCAGCCTCTCTCCCTCACCCGGCAGTATGACTACTCTGACACGCTATAAATCAGGGCTTTCATACAAAATGCATTCATTCATATGAACCCCTCACATCACATCACATCTACACTGTTGTACGGGCACTACAGGTGAACTTGACCTCCTTCATCTCAGTCCCAGCACCAGTAGGAAGTCCATGGATAAACCGAGTTCTGTGGCCACGAACTAAAAGTCATGGCTCCGTGCCACAACAGGCAGGTGCTGTTCACCAGCGGCTCTCTTCAGGTTACTGCCACCCTGTTACCTTGGGCAGGTGGGGCCATCTCAGCGGGCAAGACCAGAGCCCGTACTTGGTGTGTGAGCAGGGTACAAGGCTCTGGGCCCTGTAAGCACCCACTTTCCTTCAGAACCAACCACAGGTGACGCTGTAACTCTGGGCTCCTGACTTCAGAGCCAGTCCAGAAAGAACACAGAGGGTGCGCTGTTAGGCAGACCTGGGTCAGAAGCTCCACTCTGCCCCTTCCTGCCCCGTGAGCACAAGCAAATGTTTTCTGTTCTCCTACAGTCTGTTTCCTCATCTTCATGGATATAATGGCAGCCAACCCCGCTGGCTGGAGCACAGACAAAAATCACCTGGCCTGTGGAAGGCCCCTGACCAACGGCAGCCAACGCGATGGCAGCCACTTGTTTACAGTGAGCAGTTGTGTATTTGGAGCACACGGGAAAGAAATGACTGCCAACCTCATGTCCCTGGTTTCCACAGGACAGGACCATGTTGACATTGTGTGAAGGCTCCTTGGAAAAAGCTCACAGAACAGTCACAAACCTTTTGAAAAACTGTCTTCTTTGAAACACTGCAGTTCTTTCTGTCCTTACCACTCAGTGTAAGGGCAGTGGAGAGCTGCACAGCACACACACTGAGGGTATTCAAACAACACTCACGCCTGGTCTCCACCAGTCACTGGGATGGCGTGTGAGCGGGGCACTGGGCTTCTGTAACCTTCCCAGGTGATTCTGGGAGCCACTGGGCTGGAGAGCAATACGCTCACCAGTGGTCCCCACGTCATCTGCACACTAGAAGCACTTGGGGGACTCCTGAGCTGGGGTCCCCTGGCCAGAGATTCTGATTTAACTGACCCAGGATGTGGCTTGGACTTCCAGAGATCTCAAAGCTCCCTGGGAGAGTCCATTCGGCAGCAAATTTGAGAACAAGTGCAATGAACCAGCAGCCTGTCACTTCTGGCACCTGAGAATCACCCGAGGAGCTGCGAAGCCACACCAAAGACGATCGAAGAAGCCAGACAGGGCTGGCTTCTGTAGAGCCACCAACTCCTCAGGGACTCTGATGCCTTCCAGAGTGTGAGACCCACTGCACTGCACTACGGTGGATGGAGTTCATACCCAGGAACCAGCGTTAATGAACTCCAGACACCTGTGTGGGACTGAAACCAAATGCAACTCACTGCTCTTCAATAAAATATGAACTCATGTCAAAACACAGTACAGAAGCTCTGATGAAGACTTCTGGCTTCATCTTATGGTAAACCTGTGTGGGCTTCCAGGGGGTTTGAAAAGCCCCTGGAAGGCGAGACAGAGAGACAGAGAAAGAGACAGAGACAGAGAGATGGAGAGAGACGGAGAGACGGAGAGACGGAGAGAGGGAGAGAGAGAGAGAGAGAGAGAGAGAGAGAGAGAGAGACGGAGAGAGTGTACACACATTTTTCTGGGGGAATAATTGATAACTTCCATTAGGATCCCAAAGGGCTCCAGGACCCCAAAGCGGCGAGCACCCATTGCATTCTACCTTGTCATGGAAGCTTATGTGAACAAAGTCCCCGTACTGCAGCCCTGTCGTTTGCAGGATGGAGCCAAAGTGACAGTTGAGCTGATCACCTCCAACCAAGTCATAGTCGGCCGTCCTGCTTCTGCAACTAAAAATGGGACAACCTCAGCCACCTACCAAGAAAGAGCAAACCCACTGTCCTATTTTCCCAGCAAACCTCAATGAAGACTACAGTTTACAACTCTTAGGACTTAGTCTGGCTAACATATAATGGCTTTGAAAAGACAACGTATTTCTGGGCATGCTTCTTACTAGTGTGCTGACTTCTGGAATCATCTTAATGCTTTGCATATTCCAAAAATGAATTAAATCAACAACGATGGAGACCCTTTAATCACCAGCAATGGGACAAACTGGCATCATGTGTCTCCCATTATGACGAATCCAGGACACAAGGTTCCTGACAGAGCATTCCTGCCAGAAATGTACAACCTGAATCTAATCATGAAGAAGCCATCAGACAAATGCCAACTGAGGGCCATTCTACAAAATATCTGGATTGTCCTTTTCAAAATGTCAATATCACGAAAGATAAAAAGTGAGAAACTGTTCCAAACTGAAGGAGACTAAGGAGACATGACAACTAAATGCAACACATAATCCCGGACTGGAGGAAAAACTGTATAAAAATATTATTGGGACGATTGGAAAAATTTGCACACAAGTTGTAAATTAGCTAATGGTTAATGATAAATATCCTGAATTTTATAATTGTACTATAGTTTTGTAAAAGAATGTCCTATTCTTAAGAAATACAGGCTGAAGTAATTAGAGCTAAAGGGGCAAGACATCTGCAACTAAATCTCATGTTTCAGGGGACAAAATATGTGTAATATATACAGGGAGTGATACAGCACATGTGACAAAAATGAGTCACAACTGGTGACTCTAGATAAAGGCTGTATGGGCGCTCTTAGCACTGCTCTTGCAGTTTTTGAAATATTTCAAAATAGAAAGTTTTTTTTTAACAAGGGAAATAGGATTATTTTTAGAAAATAAAGTATGGGCACCACAGCAGGAGACATCTAAAGGAAGGCAGAGGCCCCGGCTCCTGCAGACCTACCAGTCGCCACCAATCCTGCACAGCCCTGTGAACGGGTTCCGGTAAATGTAGAGAGGCCACCCATAGGCAGCTGCGGCAAACTGCATATAATGATGGCAGTTTTCTAATTCTGCATCCAAATCAGCTTCCTGCAGGAGAAAAACAGTCAGGGGAAGCCATTAAGGGGAGGCTCTACACTAAGACCTTAAACCTGAACTCAAATTCCTGCTTGTTCCCTTTCTGTCCTCGCTGAACACACCTCGCAGAGGACCTCCAAAGGAAAGTCCTCTATGGAAGGACTGGTCCTCCAACACAGATGGAGACGGACCCCTGACTTTACAGGAATGCAGCAAGCACAGTGGAAGTCAGCAGCAAAAACCGCTGATGACTTTTCTGGCTCCAGGGGAAGTGAACCAGTGACTTCCTGCCCGATGCACGGGAAGGTCAGCCGACTGCCACGCCACTGGCAACAGGTGAGCAGTGGAAAACTCTATGATTGAACAGGTGCAGAGAAATACATGTGTCTACGTGAACTACTCTTTCAACAGCATAAAAATCTCTGGCAGGAAAACTATCATGAAGCACAGCTGAACTGCTTCTGCTCCCTAGGCCCAGAGAAGAGAGCACACACGTTACCCTGGGAAAATCAGGTACCACCCCAGAAGGAACTATTGATTCATGGCCACTTTCCTAAAAGAGAATGCTTTAAATTTTAAAAATACTCTGGTTGGCAAACTGGCCAGGAATGGGCACACTCTACTTGAACTCCAGTTTGAGAGGAGCTGCCCCACCTCACAGGTGACAAACCACAACGAGCAGAAGCCACAAGTCTGATTCCAAACCAACTCCTGAACTGCTGCTAGCTAGTTTTGTTTTGTTTGGCTTTAAGACTCACAAATGGGTATAAATGTCAAAACTGTACAACCCAACAGAAACATGGGCTTACCTGGGAGGACCCTGGAGAATGGCTGATCCGCTCCTCAGGCTCCTGGTTATTCCTGATACTGTCCTGCTGCTGATGGAGAAGGGTGAGGCCTGCCGCAATGTCACTGGGCACCAGGTCTGTGTCCTGGAGGGGAATCACAGCGGCTTGTCAGAAATCTCAGCAGGAATTGCCCATGAATTCCTTAAAATCAGTTTTATACAGTTCACACGCACATACACACATACACCCACGTGCATACAAACACACGCAGATACAGTTATATGTAAAAAGGTGTTTTAAAAAGTACTTTCCTTTCGGGACTCCTATATGTGAGCTTAACGTTTTTCACTATCCTGCCATCGGACAAATCCACTGAAGGACATAAAAATACTGTTGATATTCCTCTTCAAATTTTACTTCAAGTGACAGCTACTTTTAATCTAGTTCCCATTTTTTGTAAAGTGGGGGAGTAAATGAGTAAATTTGACACTTTTGCCAATTTAGTGCACGTTTATACTCTCGCTGCCCAAGGTGCTGTGAAGGTTTGGTCAAAAGGTTCGTGGTAGAGATTTATGAGACTGAACTTATATTCACTGAGTATAGCGAGCCTCAAAAAGAACCTTGAACTGGCTCAGTTGGTTAAGAGCTCGCTCAAGAGTTTGAGCTCTGAGCAACAGCGGTTCGAGTCAGCCCGAGCTGAGCAGCCGTGAGCTGCCAACAGNTCTGAGCAACAGCGGTTCGAGTCAGCCCGAGCTGAGCAGCCGTGAGCTGCCAACAGGTGGCGGGATGGCTCAGCAAAAAAAAAAAAAAAAAGAACCTTGAACTGGGAAGGCAACAGAGTGAGTCTCTGAGCCTAACCTTACGCTTCTCTCCTAGGAGGGCTGGGGAGCAGGGAGGGCCCCTCAACCATACCCAGCACTCCTGGTCCATAGAAAGAGCCAGGTACTGGCCACTGGGCCACTGAGCCATGAGTTCTGCCTATGACACAGGTTAAGTCATCCTGTAGAGAAGAGCCAGATCCTCTTCCTTCTTCCAACTATCTTAAGACGAGGCTGAAGCACTCCTATAAAACTATTTAGGGGGACACGCCAATCCCTACATGGAGGCTGCTGTTAGGCTACAGGGCCAGCCCTGGACGGTACAGTCAGACTACTCAGGCGAGACACAGACCACAGGTGCAGAGGACGTCCAGAGAATTCCTCCCCCTTACTTGGTCTCAATATTGGTCACAGTAAGTTTATCAGAGGACATTAATGAAAAGACACGTTAAATGTGAAAGAAAAATGAGTATTTCCAAATCACTGACGAAACCACTCTAGAATGATGACACCCTTCTGCATTGCAATAATCTAGTCAAACTTCCCTCCAAAAGCAGAATAATCTATTATTTCTACCGTGCTATAAAGTAGTAAGAAACCAAGGTCTGATAATGTCTTGAATGCATGACTTTCCCTGTTTCTGCTGAGTACCAGCTGGATGGAGGACATGAAAACACAAATTATTCCCAAAATGTACAGGTTCCTTAAAAACTTATTCCATTCATTAAAAACAAATTCAAAATCGTGACAGTGACTTGCACAAGTGTCAGCACCAAGATGTGCTGACCAGAGGCAGGGTCTGCAAACGCAGGGCCCTGGTTGAGGCTCCCCAGAACAGGCTTGTTTGTCCCAGGGGGCATCTCCCCCACCCCGCCACACCCACAGACTACAAATTCTCAGGAGCTATTTTATGTGAACTGGGGGACGGGCTCAAAATGCAGAGTACTCATCTTAATGTAAGAAGCATTTACTTAAAACACAAGAAAGAGACGAAACCAGACCCCGTCAGCTTACTGAAAAGTAGGTTGAGAAAAGCTCTGCCATACTCGAAAAAGCAACTCGAGTGTGGTCGTCTTTCCCAATGCAACAGCACAAGAACTTAATTCTGGTTTCCCACACGCTTGTAGCTGCTGTCTTGAGGCCATTAAGTAACTGACTCGACTCTTGACTGTCCAGGTGGTTGGGAGCAGCAGAGGAATACGGAGCCATTTTCCCCCCCAGGGGGTCAAAGACAATGACAATGGTAACCACAGTGGAGACGATGATAATCCAACTGCAAAACAGAAAGGAAAAGGCTCAAGAGCTGTGGGTCCTCCATGCAGAGACAGGAGCCCAAAGCTCCCTCCTGTGGTTTCAGTTTTTGCATCTGTACAACTATGGCTCAGTTACCAAGGAAGATGTGACTCTTCCAGAAGCTGAATAAGACAAGCAACTTGTTTCTTCTGGAAAGTTCCTTATAAGCTCATGGCTAACCCAGGCCCCACAAAGATCAGAGCCCTAAAAGTAAAGATCACAAAAGAGAAAAGGAGCTGTCTGGAGGGTAGAGTTGCAGCCTGGGCAAGGAGGCAGCTGGAACGTGTTCTCCACAGCCCCCCGACCATGACCCAGGCCCTTACTCCTCAGTGCTTCAGGGTTCCTCTCAGTAAAACCACAAGAATGTTGCCATATTGCGAGACACTCTGATAGGTCTTCCAGTCATACATTTAAATGATTCTAGCTTGTCCGCGATGTGCAAGGCTCTGAGGGTTCCTGCCCACGTGCTACTGGGAGACGAGTCTCTGTGAGGGAGGGATTCTGCTGTGAGACTCAGGAAAGGCACCATCAGCACAATTCCCTTCTTTATAACACAAGGGGATGTATGTAGAAAATGTCAAGTTTTTAGCCTGAAACTGCAAGTCTTATGCTAGTGCGTTATTCTCTGTTGCCATTCCTGACACTGTGATTCTTCTCATCCTACCATTAGTACGTACCCTTGTTTTGGTTTTTTTCCTTTTTATAAGAGAAGGGAGGGAATACAGAAAAATGAGAAGCAGTAAGAAAGAAAACTACATCAATAAATGCATAATGGAAGATGAATTATTTCTCATATATAGATGGGTGCCTCTAAATTTTTATGATTTACTCAAAAAGGTCCAATTTCTAACCATTTTAGGAAGGCTGCATGACGTTGGGCTACCTGTAGCTAATCAGAAAGGTTTGTTTACCTACATCTCAAATGCATTTGGGACAAGAAACCCAAAGAAATGACGGGAAAACCTCACCTGACAATGACGGTTGCAATGATGCCATTCACAACTGCCTTGTCACAGTGAACACTGTGTGCTATCCAGGAGGCCCCCAGAGAAGCCCAGACCATCTCTGGCAGAAAGAGAGCTAGGCGGATGTAAAGCAGTTTAGCCATAGATTTCCGTGGTCCGGGATTACAAATGGTTCCTGAAATACAGAAAATATTCCAATTGGTCACTTACACCCTCAGAGATGACGAGTTTCCTTTCTACAAAAATACAGCTATTAGAGCATATACTGGTACTGTATGAACAACATCTGACTTTTTCTACTTGTAATTGACAATCAATGCCTAAGTTTGAGAGCAAGTGACAAAGTAAGGGATGGGAAACATGACCAAAAGCCTCAGATTCATTTCTTAGACTTACCAGGGTTTAAAAACACTTCGGGGCTCTAACTAGGGTGACCATATAATCATTGTCCAAATCAGGATACTTTTGAGAGCAAATGAAAGCACTATTAAAAATTATGCTGGCCAGCGTGAGCGGCCGGCAGCTGGCATGAGCTGCCATGAGTCGCTGTGAGCGGCTGTCCAGTGGCGACTGATTGCCTCACCCGGGAAGAGTGCAGTGATGGTGCCAACGTGGGCCAGTGAAGCAACATCCTCCACAACTAGACTGAAGAACAAAAGGACAGCAACTTGTCTGTTCCCCTTCCCCGATTCCCCAACGCTGTTCCCCTTCCCCAATTCCCCAATAAAATCTTTAAAAAAATTGTTTTTTTAAATGCTGGGACAACCAGCATAAAACAAAGCTGTCCCAGACAAATAGAGGTAAACTGTCAGTCCCCCCAGTTCTAACCAGCCAAGAAAATAAGCTCCACCTTCTCTCTGCATCCTCCATCCCTGCAGGCACCTCCAAAACACTTTATACCCATTATTCTTTAATCCTCAGAATGACCGTGAGATAGTCTGTCACCATCTCATCTTACAAATGAGGAACCTGAGGCTCAGAGAGCTCAGTAACTACTTTCTAAAATATCATCCAGGTTTGCAGGACCCTGGCTCTGCCTCAGCAATGCCCCCACAGTCCTCACTTTGGGAAAGGGAACAATTCTGATTTTGAGACCATTTAAAGCAGCCTAACATTTTAGACACAACATTTTTACTGTATTTGTAAAACAAATCCAAGTATCAATAGAGGTCCGGGTGCTTTAGTTCTGATATAAAATATGAACTCTCTCCCTTTGGGAAAATATGATAAACACTAATTTAAGTAATGCAAAAATGCCATATGACTAAAACAAATACAATGGTTGAAAAAAAAATCTAAGATCTAAAGAACAACTTGGTAAGGAAATAGCTTTTAAATTCCAAAATTTATCTTCCATTATTACTTAGTCACATTTTAAAATATTAGACCCTATCAGGGTTCATTTTGGCACAAAGGCAAAATCTTATAAGGCAACTGAATAAACACTCTCTCTTCTGAGGGACCATGAGTGCAGGCATGAAAAAAATCAGTTCTATATTTGGAGCTTGTTATTGTACAACAGCAGATCACCCAAGAGAAACAGGAAACAGTGTCTGTCCACACCCTGCTTTCTGGAGGGCTGGGGTCCCAAATACAGGAATGCCCCAATGCTGTCAGCGGTATCTGGATCTGAAACTGCATCGTGCTGACACTGCATGACTGGAAGAAACAGGGAAGCAGGAAATGGGAATTCTGATTAAGGTTCCAGAAAAGAAATACAATACTGAAGAAGTCTCCTTTATATAGTTATGCCTGCCCAGAAAAACATTTTTATTTTATTTAGATATTTATTTTCTTCTCAAGAGAGAGAGTTGCTGGTATGGCCCTGGCTGCTGCAGTGGGTGCTTTGAGGTCAATGGCCCATAACCGACCAGCACAGCTATGTCCCTGAATGGCATGTCCTCAATAGTCTTGGTAAAAGAACCCTACCTTCCTTCACTAGGCACAGCCATTTACAGAAGAGCAACAAAAGGAAAAAAGGAAGGCCTATCACAGAATCTTTGGATTCAACACCTCTAGCCACTGCAGTCATTTCCTCCTGTATGAAATGAGCAATGAGCTTCTGAGATACAAATGCAGAGCAATACTTGACACCCTAGAATCAAAACCAAATGAACGGCAGACCTTGGATGACAAGGGTTTTCTATGTAAGTGTGGTAGTCAGTAATTAAACTTCCCACATGGTAGGAACAGGATTTTAGCAGGGAGGTTCTCAAATCAACACTAGAAACGAAAACAATAATATCAAGATTCTTCCCAACTAAGCTATAGAGATGACCAAGAAAAAGAAGACAGGTAAATACACAAGCTTTAGTCTTTTGGATAAAAATGACTGAATTCCATTTGTTCCACCTGTGCTCTCTACAACTTGTGGTGTTTTTTTAGAGAGATATATCATCCAATAGCTAAATATACATGATCTTTCAGCTGAAAAAGACAGATTAATTATTGCGATGACTTATGAAACAAAAGGGGCAATGGAATTTATCCATGTATCAAGAATAAAATTTACCAATGTGTTAACAGTTATTTAAAAATATACCTAAAATTTAGTTTATAAAAAATCTCATTGATTTTGTGCAGGTAATGCATTTAAGGGTAAAAAGCTCAAATTTGTTCAAATGTGTATAAAGGAAATATTCAGCCTTCCTTCTAGCACTAAACCCATCTTTCAGTTACCTTCCTAAAAGTAAGCTAGTGACTTGTGTAGCCTCCCAGAGCCTGCATATAAACAAAACACGTAATGATATACATGCCCTTTAAGAAAAAGTAGCAAACTAATACAGTGTCCTGGACCTTATCTGCTCACAAAACATTTCTCATTCCTTTTAACAGGTGCACAGTAGACCCTCATATAAATGAACTACACTTTCCCTAACCAGAGGCCTATGGACAGGCACTGAGTTCATTTCAGCCTTGCATACCTATAAACAACACTGCAGTGAACGTCTCTGCAAGTACTTCTTTGCACACATTCAAATATGTAGAAAAAAGCTGGTACACACAGACACACACCGCCAAACTGGGCTTCCAAGAGGTTCAACCAAGTTACATTCCCACCAACGAAATGAGCCACTTGTTTCGGCATAGCCTCACCAACTCTATGTATTATCTAGGTGGATTTTTCTCATTGTGATTAAGGCTGATTTCTTATTGTGATTGACTTTTTTATATACGTAAAAGCTGTTTATATTTATTTAACTGCTCATGAGCTTACATAATATTTTTAATATTAACCATGTGCAACAAATTGGCAATTAAGCTAACATGTTTTTATAAAATGCTGTTTTCAGTTCAGTTGTGATATCTCCCACTCAAACTGGTTTAAAAGCAGGAAGGCTCTGCGTTGACTTGAGAGACTGGAAGTGCTAGGCCAGGACAGGTGCCATGGCTCCCTGTGCTTCTTATAGCTCTGTCCTCTGTATGTCAGCTCATTCTGACCTGAATACAGCAGGAATGCGGCAGCTCATCCATGCACAGCATCATCCAGAAGAAAAACAGTACATTCCTAGGGGAGCAGGGAAGGACTTCCCCAGAATTTCTCGGTGAACTCCCTGAATTTCACTGGTGCAAACCAGGTCACATGCCCATTCCTGAACCCATCACTGACACATGGGGATCATTCCTGAGCTGGGCAGAGGGCCAGCTTCTCTGACACATACACCTGGTATGTGAAGGATGGGGGACGTCCTGAATAAAACTGAGTTCTGTTTGGAGGAGGATGCTGGGTAGGCAGCCCACTTATAACACCCCTAGCCATCGGCAGATATTTTCTGAGCCCTGACCCTGGGTGACAGTAGGGCGTTGTGCAAGAGGTTAGGAGGAGGGGCCAAGTGAACATGGCCACCTGTCATGGGGCTGTGAATGTGCCCAGATACCACCAAAAACATCTGAAGGGAAACACTTCAGGGAATGTTGACAATAAGCTTACACTTATTGCTTCAAATCTGATCCCACTGTTACAGTTGTAAACTTGGGTGTACTAACCAGAACATGACCTGAACAGAAAGGGCAAATAAATTAGGTAATGCTGTATCTGAAATGACACCAATCTACATACTTCATCTTTCAGAAATTCTGACTTCATTAACAACTTCACAATGCTAATGCCACATTGCACACATTCAATCCCTTCAGCACCCAGCACCAATGACACTCCGGACTTGAAGACCAACACAGACCGCAAAACTAGGACCTTCTCTGATCCAGACCCCATGCATCCATGCTTTCAGAGGTACACTAGAATACACACAGCTCTGTTTTCTATAGCTTGCTATATAGTAAGCGGGCACAGGCCATACTTCTTGGTCATCCAAACCCTATGATATTTTTCTCATAAAACACTTTACCACTACCATTTCTTTCTGTAACTCCTTTGGAACTTCTGTCTTTTAACTTTCAGTCTATCATTCCAAAATGTCAAGATCTTGCTTCCGTCACCCTCACCCACAGTATCAGCTACTCCCTCCCAGTTTTATCATCACTATCTATAATCTGTAAGCATGCCTTCTACATCCCGATTCAAGCAGTGATAAAATGCCGAAACACACTGGACAGTGGCGAGCCTTGCCATTGACTGATGAGTTTTATTTACTGATGCATTTCTTTATTAGTCACCAGAGTGCTCAACTCATCCTATGAACCAGAGCAATCGACAGGGAAGGTTTCCAACATTTTCAGAGATTTCTCAGTTAAGTGATTGCAGAAAATGGTAACATGTAGAAAAAAAATATCATTAAGAATAGATGTAACTCTTACCACTCACTAATTAAAAGACAAATATCCCAATTTAAAATTGCGCAAAGGATCTAAATAGACATTTCTCTAAAAATGACACAAATGCCCAATAAGCATGTAAAAAGATGCTCAATATCATTAATCATCAAGAAAATGCATATCAAAACCACAACAAGATACCATTTCGCATCCACTAGGATGGCTCTGATCAAAAAGTCAGATAATAACAAGTGTTGTTGAGTATGTGGAAAAAATGAAACCCTTATAAACTGGTAGTAAAGAAAAATGGTGCAGCTGCTCGGAAAACAGCCTGGCAGTTCAGAAAGTTGAAGAGAGTGACTATAAGATTGAGCAATTCTGCTCCTAGGTACATATCCAAGAGAAATGAAAAACAAATGTCTATACAAAAACATGCACGTGAATGTTCACAGCAGCATCATTTGTAATAGCCAAAAAATGGGAACAACCCAAATGTCCACCAACTGATTAATGGATAAGTAGCTATGGTCTATATCCATTCCGTGGACTACTACTCAGCCAGGAAGAGGAATGAAGTACTGACACATGCTACAGCATGGATGAAGCTTGAAAACATTTTGCTAAGAAGCCAGATAAAAAGGCTGCAATAGTGGATGGTTCCACCTGTATGATGCCCAGAATAGGCAAATCTGTAGAGAAAGAAAGTACATTAGTGGATGCCTAAGGCTGAGGGAGTTGGGGAGAAATGAAGAGTGACTGTCAATGGGCACAGGATTTCTTTCTAGGGTGATGAAAATGTTCTCAGGTTGATTGTAGTAATGGTCACACAACTCTGAATATACTAAAAGCCACTTAACTGTGTATTTTAAATGGGTGGACTGTATGGCATGTGAATTATATCTCAATAAAGCTGTTAAAATAAACCAGGTGGTGTCAAATAGAAAAGGCTACTCCTCACCTCTCATGCTGACACACACGATGGCCAACACCGTGCATATAATAACTGCCAGGAGAACAAGGAGGACGGTCAAGTAACTGCTGAGCAGGGCTCCGCCGGGACAGTCCAGCTTCCCTCTGTACATGACGTACAGAGTCAGAATGCCAATCCACCTGTTGAGAAACAGGGCGGGTCAGATATGAAATCCAAGGACCTGCTTTGTAAAACATGAGAAAAAGAAATAAAAGGAGTTATTTTCCAAAACAAGGTGAGGTTCGCTTTGGAATTTAATTTTCATCAATAAGAGATCTAAGGCAACTAAGAGTATGACTTTGTTTAATGAGTGTTATACTTCCTGTGCCTACACCACTGATCGTCTATGCCTGCCGTGTACATCAGAGGCATTTACAGCCGTAAGAAAGCAAATATAATCTGAGCTGTTTGGAAAACACCCCCCTCATGACTCAGAAACATGCAACTGGTAAACCGCAATCTATATGCTTGCTAAATTAGTAACAAGACGGGGCCGGCCGAGGGGCTTGTTGGTTAGGAGTTGGCTTGGGAGTGTGAGCTCTGAGCAGCAGGGCCACCGGTTCGGATCCCACATGGACCTGTGACGCTGCGCCCTCTACAGCTAAGATGGTGAACAACAGCTCGACCTGGAGCTGGGCTGCCGTGAGTTGAGTCGTCGGCGACTGCCTAGGCTGCAGTGGCGCTGCCCTGGGCTGCTGTGAGCTACCGTGAGCGGCCAGCAGCTGCCATGAGCCACCATGAGCCGCCGCGAGCAGCCATCCAATGGCCGACGATCGATCTGCCTCAGCCGGTAAGAGCGCAATGATCATAATACCAGCAGGGGCCAGTGAAGCTGCATCCTCCACAACTAGACTGAAGAAGAAAAGGACAGCCACTTGTCTGTTTCCCTTCCCTGATTCCCCAATAAAATCTTAAAAAAAAAAAATTAGTAACAAGAGGATTTTTACTTCTGTGAATTAACAAGAAATTGAAAAACACACATTGTAATCTGCTATATGTAATACAAAGAATCGAGGGGGTGGGAAGCAAGTTATGTAACGATGTTCCAGGGTGAACACTGATAACCTGACAAGTATTGGGGAATCATATCTTGTATTTCAGTGCAGAATAATCAAAGGCAGCACCAAACAATACAAAGTACTGGTGAACTGTCACTGGAGGGGTTTCAGCAGCAGGCAGAGCACCATTTGGCAAGAACACTGTATTAAGAATTGAAGCCCAGACTAAGGATTCTAGTCCAACTGGAACTGGATTAGATAACTATGCTTTTTGTCAGTTCTGTGATATTGACTCGGTGTCTAGAAATAATGGAAAATGATCTCGGAAAGACGTAGCTCTGAAACGATGAAACTAAGCAGCAGCTCAGAACACTTCGTGGTTTTATGCCTTTCCCCTCAAGAACCTGCTTTTTTATAACAATGGCATTATTATTCCTTGCTCAGACCCTCTGGGAACAGAGCTCAAAGCCCCCATTCCACTTCCTCCTGATTCCGCCCTTTGAAAGACAGGGGAGCACATGCCACTCTCATGGAATTCAGCCACAACCCTCTCTGGAACCGCAGGCACTATTTCCCCTCTTTCATTAGGCAGATACGAGACGCCGTGCGTTCCCACACAGAGCTCAGGAATGATGCAGGCGGCTGCTCCTGGCTCGAGGAAGCAGATGCCGGGGCCATGGCTTTCGTCAGGCAATGAAGTCCCGGTGGCTCCCAGGGCCAGGGCTCGGGGCCGCACGCGTGGGGAGGGGTGCTCGTGCCCTGCAGCGCTCAAGTCCCGGCCGCGGGCCCACCTGGACGACCCTGAGCCCTGCCTACCCGCTCTGGGCTTCAGTTTGCCGTCTGTAAAAGGGGGAGACTAGATGCACCTACCTTCACGGGCGGTGCAGAGGACTAGACAAGAGAACGGAGAGCAAACTCTGGACACCGCAAGACCTTAGCGACACTGTCACCACTCTCGCGTGGCTCTCCCCCTCCCACCTCGGCCCGGGACGCCCGTCCGCAGAGCCCGCCGCCCTTACCACAGCACTCGCAGGAACAGCTCCAAGAACCCCGGAAAGACTAAGTCGTCGCTGGCGATGGCCCAGCGCCGGCCGAAGAGCACCATCCCCGGCATGGCGAAGGCCCGCCGCCTGGCCTCGGGCCAGCCTGCAGCGCGCCAGTCTCTCCTCAGCGTCCGGCACCCTCCCGGCTCCACAGCACGCCTGACCGCGACTCCACGCAGGCGCACACGGGGGCGCGGCCGGGAGCGCATGCGCACGCTGAGGCCAAGCCAGGCGCACGCTACTGGACCTTCTGCGCCTGTGCAGATACGCTGACCGGGAAGACCCTGGCTGATTTTATCGCAGGTTTGCGGGAGTGTGAAGTCCGTTGTGCTATTTCCATTTTATAGATAAGGAGACATTTGGCTCGGGGGGGATTAGCCAGCTCAGAGACCCACGACTGCTAATGTCGGTTCTGGGAGCTCATCCCCAGTCTGTGGGACCCCAGGCCTGTGACGAAGTTGTCCTCTCTGTGCATCCCATTGTCAGGAGAAAGAAACAGGAGACCCTTCTCGAATGCAGGGCCAGAAACCACCTGGCATACTGGGGCTGGTGGGTAGGGAGTAGCCTGACCAGCCTTCCTTCCTCCCGAGCCAGCCATTGCTCAGTGCGGTTAGGTTCTGACCTCTTCGCAGTACTTCCACTCCCCTCCCTGGTCCGAGCCTCTTTAAATCTCGTGCCTGACGAGGTCTCCCCACTGCTTTTCTTCATTCTGCCCTACCTGCCCCCTACCATTCATTCCTACTACAGCAGCCGGGGTGACTTTGTTGAACCGTCAGACCAAGGCCATCCCTTTTTGGATCTTGCAAAGCTGCACTTTGTGCATAAAATAGACTCTAACCCTCCGCATAGGCCTTTCGCTGATAGTCACACATCGCAAGTCTGTAAATGAGTGTTTGTCTCCCCAAGTTAGTACTACTCTCCTTCTATCACCCCACTGTCTGGCACCATTTTTCCCTCCCTGAAACTCATCAAGCTCATTCTCACCCCAGGGCTTTTCACATTTTGTTTCCTCTGCCAAGGATGCTCCAACCGCAGGTATTGCCATGTCACTCTCTCACTTCATGCAAGCCTGAGCTAAAGTGTCATTGCCTCCCTGGCCACCTTATCGACAACAGCACACCCATCGGTTCCCATTCCCTTACGCTTTAGTTTTCTTCACAGCACTTAGTCACTCCCTGACATTGTATCATGTTTATTATCTCTCTCCTCCCATCTTAAGAGTGTAATTGTCATGAGCATAGGCACCTTGTCCATCTTGTTCACTGCTATGCACATAATAGAAGCACATTATAGGCATGTATTTAATACTTGATAAATGAATAAACAAACTGGTTAAATGTCAAGATTTTCCCTGTCTGAAGTTCCTTCAGGGGTCTTCTAAAGGACAAAATTTCAGGGTTAAGAATAATAATATTGGAATTGTATTGATGGTGGTCAAAACGATACAGGAAATTGTAAATAGGGAAGTTATAAGGTTTTTATAGAAGAGAGCCATTCTGCCGTTTCCATGTAATATCGATCCATTAGTTGAATTAGGCCTGTTTTAAAACATTATATCATCATGTGGGTATCTTATACAAAGCATATTATTCCTTTATTTTAAACACAGGTTTTTCAATTCTCTGCTATTAAAAATAGCTATTTTAAAAATAGATTTAAAAGATCTGTTTTAAAATAACCATTTCTTGTTATTTTCAAAGTGAAATAGCAAGTCAAAGCATAGTTCTTAAAAAGGCAAATGACCCATCATGACTTTTTTTTTAGCTGAGCCATGCTGCTACCTGTTGGCAGCTCAGTGGCAGCTCAGCTCGGCCGGGGCTTGAACCGCTGTTGCTCAGAGCTCACACTCTTGAGAAAGCTCTTAACCAACTGAGCCACTCAGCCAGCCCCCATCATGACTTTTTTTAAATGAAAATTTTCAAATACAGAGATGTGGAACACCTAAGGGCTCATCACCCACCACCAAGATTTAACAAAAGATAAGTCTGCCATATTTGCTCCATCTTGAATTTTTTTGGGAAAAAAAAATCTTTGGCATCCTCTGCTTGTTCTTTAATGCTAATTTCACTATTTGTTTGCAAACTATAGTAAGTATTCTTCAGACTTTCTTGGCATTTCATCTTATTTTCATATTAACTTGGAGAAACTGTGACCTTTACTTTCATTTTTCCATATCAATTGATTCGTATCCCCTCTATTTCTCCCTTTAGGACTTGATTTGTTTTTAGTAAATTTCTGTGTCCCAAGAAAAAAGAATATCCTTGCATTTAATGTTTGTTGCTATTGTTTATGTCACATGGGGATGCAGTTTTAGCCAGGTTGTCCTTCAGAAAGTTGGATTATTTGTTTCTAAGCATTCTTTACAGGCCTGAGATCTTCAGTTTTCAGAACTTTAACAAGTCACATTTTTAATTTCAGGGCACACCAGTTTCCGTTACAGAACCATTTATTGTCTTAGAAACCTTATTAGATGAGTAAACAGGTTCTGTGTTTCCATTCTGTTTTGGTAATGGAGTAAAGTGTAGTGTAGTGTTTGCCTAAAGACTCACCTTTTAAGTGCCCAAGGCAAAAGTAGGAGTAGCCTTCTGGAGTATTCTAGTATAAAAAGTACTCATTGTTTAAAAGGAATAGTGCTGTATTATGCCGCAATTTGCTTTTAAACTGCAGGAATAAAAGAGGGCATTGTCTCAAAACTGCAGGACAAACACCCACAGCACGTGTGGACTCCACACTGCAAGACTAACCCCAATCAAGGTTAGTGCAGGAGGGCTTGAGGGGTGTGGGGCTTGCCTCATGTACTGGGCAGATAGCAGGTTCCTTGGTAATTCCATATTTAGCCACTAGAGGGCGAAGCGCATAGGAAAAACTCCACCTAGAGCTTCAATGCAATGGGACCTCATCAGACCTCCCTTGGACGGCTGATTTTGGAAGGTACCTTGGCGTCAATTTCTAGAGATGCATCGCTCTCCCAAGGGCAAAGCTGACCAATGTCATTTAATGGGCCAGAACTGATTCCAGGTCAGCTTTCAAGGCAGTTGTCCCAAGCAAAGAACAAAGGAAGGGAGGGGAAAAGGGGGTCTCCTTGAAGCACCATGAAGCTGTGTTGCTCATTCACACATCACAAAAATCCTGTGGAAGGAGTGTCTGCATGTAACTGAGGGGAAGGAAGCTCGTGTTAAATCCAGGGTCACAGCGCTGGAGTGTGAGGAGCCAAGGCTGAACCAGGCTTACTCAGGGTTCCCACAAATCACTTTCTATTGAAATGAAGCCATTGCTTGACCTTTCCAGGAAGTTCTCCAACCTAGTAGCATCTTTGGAAAGGCTGGGCAGGGCAGGATCTCACGAGGCCTTCTGCCTACACCTTTTTTTTTTTTTTTTTGTCACCTATTTCTCTACTTCTCTCTTGACCTTGACCAGACTGTAAGGAAGCAGGAAATGTAACCAACACTGATTGAACTGGGCAGGGAATGGACTGGTGTCTGTACGCGGCCAACAGCCAGCAGCTTTTCAGACTTATCACTTTGTGGGCAAATTTGTTAACTTTGCTTTACATCTCTTCATGCTGACGCTGAAAAAATAATTCACGCAAATAAAACAGCTCAATAAAAAATATTAATTACCTGATAACCTTTATTCAGGAAGTGAGAGTAACTCTGAAACAGTGCTTCGTAAGGCGCGTCATACAAGGCCTTTGTTTCCATCGTGTGCGAGGACGTTGCCCCAGTCCCGCACTCCCACTCAGGCACCCTGTTTATTAAGATGCCATCCTGGCTGGGCACAAAATGGTGGTCACATCTTAGCCAGTTTTATTTTCACTTGGGCAGAATGACCAGAGAAGGCACTGGCACGTCATACGTCAGGTGGTGTGAGAGGTCCCAGTCTCCGCTCTCCAGTGAGCCTGCCCTGCCTGTTTGATTTACATGCACAAAAAACATGAGCCCCCCCCCCATCCCGTTTGGGTAGCAAGCAGTCTGCTCCACTCATGACAGGATTTCCTCCCTTTCCTCCATGTTCTCAGGATCTTCCAAGGAGGATGAAAACAAACTAAACTAAGACTAAGATGCTGGAAAGAAAGACACTCAGACACAGAAGCAAACCATGAGGCAAGGGGGAAGCAAACCGAGAGAGGTAAAGACAGGAGGTTGAACTGTGCAGCCACTCAGCCAACTGAGGAAGATGTTGGGAGACACATTAGGTGCAAAAATAAAACCCATCCAGCTCCCTTCCTCCACAATTGAACACGGCAAGCAAAAATACTACATCCTTCTTGTAGTAAGCACTGTTAGTATGTAACACTTCAACAATTATGGTGCATCACATAAAAACTAAGTCAGATGCTTTTTGTATAAATCAAAAAAAAAATGTAGCAAATCAATCTAATGGCAAAATCAGGAGGAAAAATTCCAAAATTTCCACAAAACACACAAAGTTTTAGGTTATTAAGTGGACAGTGTTTGCAGATCTATATAGCGCTTTTGTTGCCAATTGAAAAACGAAATCATCCTGATGTAGGATGTTCCAAAAGCCTAATTCATGGAAAAAAAGGACAATTTATTCTATGTTTAATAAAATGTTTATTAAGGTGGTAACACAAGATAAATCATGCAAGAGCTCAGTAAAAACAAAACAAAAAACAAACAAAAAAATGTAAGCGTGTAAGGAATGGCAATTGGTATTGCCAATTTTTTAAAATGTAAATTATTTTACTATCCAAGTGATATGAAAAACCGTTTGAATCTCAGCATGGACATGGTTGTAGTAATCTTTTGGAATTATAAAAAAGTGATAGGTAACTATTTGTGTTCTATTCCTCAGAGTAGAGTCCTAGATCCAAAATAATCATTAATGGCCTTCACATCCCCCACTCAGATGGCAAGCAGCCCCGGAACCCCTGCCCACCGAGTTCTCTGACACCCTCAGGACAGTCTCAAACTGGCGCTTCTTAGCAAGGGAGCAGGACAGGCACCTTTGGTGACTCTCAAAGGAGACTCCATCTACATTCAGAATCTTAAAATTTTTGGTAATGAAAACTGTAAGACTTGCATGTCATCCTTACCAGCCTTAAATGTAGTGTTGTGATGTCCAAGGAAGGATTTCCACATCAGGTGGGAAGAAATTTGAACAGATATACTAAATTGAACATAGTGTCTCAGATTTCAAACAAATATGACTCATCTTTTGGCAAAAAATAAAATAAAATAAATATAGTGGAATGCAAGTTTGATAGAAGAATGTATAATCTACCAACTGTCAAGGAGAGTACAATTTCACTGCAGACACAAAGAATCAAACAATTTCAAAGAATTAAAAAAAAAAAAAGGTTTGCACTATTTCTCACAAAATCTTCACTTTTGGAACTACCCCAATTGAAGCTACACACTGAATTTATTAATACAGCATTAAGTTTCTTTGTGTAAAAAAATCTTTGTACAGAGTAAAAAAAGATAAGGCAAGATGCATTAAACAGAAACCTCCTGGTTCTTTTCCTCTGGGTTCTTGAAGAGCCTCCGATGACTATCCGCAACAAAAGAGTTGAGTTTCTGATGTTCCGTATCAAGCATCTTGTGCCTCTGCTGGTAAAGTTCTGTCCGAGCACCCTGAAGGACAGATGCTGCTGCTGGTCTTTGGCACTTACGCGGGCAGACTGAGCTTCTTTCCCTTGAGGACTAGAACGTTAAAGGGAGGAAGAGAAAACAAAAGGTTACTGATATTGACAAGCTTAGTTTCCTTCTTCCCGATACTAGACTTCTGTCACACTCAAGATACTACATGGTCATGTTCAAGGAAATAAGCTTTTGGCAACCAACAGCCATTTGATTTTGGTGTCAACAAAGTCCTCTTCACTATGAAAATGTTATGCACACATGTACCGGAATTTTATTCATGTACCTGGATGCCATAGCAATTATATTTAAGAAATACAAATTTGACTGAAATTGACGCTATATTCATAGCAGCTTTTTGTTATCATGACTTTCTCCCCTAATCAACATATATTAAAATACAACTGTTACTATGTACAGAAGTCTATAAAATATGGATGTTAAAAAAGAGATAATATGCATAAACCCTTGTACTTAGCAATTCCACCATTAGGAATGCCACTGTATAGCAAGGGTCTGTGGTTTGTGGTTGGGTTTCAGGGCTTCTGAATCCCCTAAAACTATTGGGTTGTCGGAAAAGTCATGACGCATTTTTGCAACGAAAACATAGAAAAAATACGTCATGACTTTTCCGACAACCCAATATAAGCCTAAATTTGTGTGCATATACATAAATATGCTTTTGTGGGGGGCAAGGACCGTAGCTTTCACCAGATTTTTATGAAGTTCACAGTCCTATATTCACATAAATGTAAAAATATTCATTACAAGAATTCTGACTTAAGCACTGGCTTTTAATAGCAGCAATATATGCATGAAAATAGAAGTAACAGTCTGAATACCCATGAATAGGGGGCTGAGTAAGTAAATTTTGGTAATACACACAATGAAAATACTATGGCTATTGAAAATCATGTAGATTTCAATTTACTGACATGAAAAAACGTAGTGGGGGGAAAGCAAATTATGGAGTCCCATGTATAGTTTACATCATGTATCTGTGTACGCACAAAGCAATATCTGTAATTAGTTATTGAAACATTCATTAGCAATGATGACCTCTGAGTGGTAAGATTTCAGGTGACAGTTTTCAGAATTATCAGTTCTGATGCAATTTTTCAAACAGCAAAGCTACAGCAAAAGACAAAAGGCTGAAAACCTGATCCAGAATTTAATTTGACAGTCAAACTGTTTTTCTGCAGCCAGATCTGCTTCATAAAGCTAGTGCTAGCCTGTTGGCGTGCTGGCCTGGGGAGCTCCTGAAAGAGCACGCGCTATGGGGACAAAGCAGCAGGATGCAGCCGACGTACCTTTAGTGATGTACAAGTAGAAGAAGTCGCAATAGAGGATGGTCTGGACAACACCGGCCACCACAGCAATGAGGTCGAAGAAGCCCTCAAAGTAGAAGCGCCAGATCCAGTTGACGAGATACAGCGCCCGGTAGAGGCCCAGGAAGAACAGGTAGTGGGTGGTGATGGTCTCCGCCTCCCCAGTCTTGCTGATCATGAACAGCTGCGGCAGGATGGCCACTGACTCCAGGTAGATGGAGAAGGTCCACAAAATCTGTGAGAGAAACCACAGGGTTCGGTCAGCAGCCAGTGTCCGCCACGGATTCACAGGAAATACTCTTGCTTTACTGTGGAGCAGCACAAAAAGTGGGGAGTCTGGGCAGAGAGCCCAGGACAGAGATCAGCAAGCCCATAAACCACAGAAACCTGAGCTGCATTTAAGAGGCACAGTCACTCCCAGTGACCAGCCGGATTACCTGGACACCTGAACCTCTGAACTTTCTTTGCCTCGTCTGCCCAACATCATGTTCTTCCCGGAACAATTCTCTGTGAATCTACATAAATGATGTTTCTTCTGCATCAGCCTGCCCCACTCCAAATCTGGGGTCCCAAACCAGCCCTGCTTTCTTCCAGGGTGGCCACACTGATAACCAGGTTCCTTAAACTTGCTCACTGCTATTTTTCCTCTCCTTTCCAGACCATCCAAATATTCTCACTATTTTTCTTATTCTTTAGGCTCTTTGGGCGTGGTTAAATCAAAGGGCTATGAAATCAGAGTGGTAATTATGCAACTCTCTGCCCAACTTGACACTTTATTCACGCTGATGACAGAAGGACTCGTGAGCAGTCCCTTGGAGGATTTTAAAAGCCCAGGCACTCCCAGCACCCATCAGACAACCAAGGGTAGTGCGGTGACGTAACCAACCCCAGGATGCCAAGGGAAGGACAAGGCACATAGGAGCAGCTATGGTCCTGCACAGTGCCAGGGGCGCCATGCCAACCACGTTTCCTAAAGCTGAGGAGCGGAGCAGCACTGCTTAGGGGAGTCGCAGACAGTGCCAATGTGCCACCCCCGTACATGAAGAAGAAACAAAAGTTGGGTTAGAGTGAGGAGGTCATGTTCATCCAACACTCAAACAGGTAGAGAAGCCAAGTTTATATTCTAGAAGAGCTAGGTAATAACCTGTCGGTAGACACCCCAGTACATGGGGGCTTAATTCCTGTCCACGATGTACTTACACCAAATAGTGAATGTTGCACCGGAAGCTTGCCAAACCAAAAAAAAACAGAACAGAACCACCCCACATTCTCTGCAAACAGGCCTATTTCCCTGAGGATCCAGACATGACCATTAAATAACCTCTTAACTAACCTCAAGAGGAGAGAAATCATGATTGACTAGAAACGAGAGGCCTCCCACAGGGACCACCAGAAACTCCACTCGGAAGGTATCGTGATTTCCATCGTAAGTTGCCTTAAATTTCATGTAGATCAGGTACACCGTGGCATAGGAGCAGGCAATGTAGATAAGCTACAAACAAAAGAAAAAATACCAGGTCATCCATACCTTATCATTGTTCCAACTCCCTGGGCTTTTTACATCATCCACATATATTTAATTGTAAAACTTAAATATAGTAAAATGCACTTTGGGGGGTACACAGTTCTGAGTTACGTAACCACCACCACAATCCAGGTACAGATCAGCACTGTCACTCCGCAAAAATTTCCTCAAGCTGCCCCTCTGTAGTCAGGCCTCCCCCCAGGCCTAACCTCTGCCAATCAACTGATCTGTCCTTGGTCCCTGCAGTTTTGCCTTTTTCAGAATGCTACATAAATGGAATTATACAATATATCGCTTTGAAGACCAGCTTCTTTCAATTAGCATAACACATATGAGATCCAACCATGCTGTAACGAGTATTAATAAGATGGCCAGCTCCTTCCTATTGCGGAGCAGCAGTCCACGGCATGGGTGTACCACAGTTTGTTCATCCACTCACCTGTGAAGGCCAGGTGGGCTGTTTCCAGCTTGGCAGGTGGTGGATAAAGCTGCTGAACATTTGTGTACAGGCTTTTGTGTGAACATAATTTTTCATTTCTCTTGGGTAAATAACTAAGAGTGGGATTCTTGAATCATATGTTAAGTGTAAGTTTATAAGAAATTGCCCAAGAATGTATTTTTAATCCCATTTTAAATTATTAGAACATAGCTTAAGAAAAAATATAAATGCAAAGTTCAATGCAGTTCAAAACCAATTCACTTCCTTCCAGCATCATATTTCTTAGCTAGTGCTTTTCTAAATATAAAATAAACAGTGTAACTCACGTTAAACTTTACAATGATGGTTTTTACTTAAATTGTGTTACTTTAACACTGGTCATTCAAATTGTTGCTTTGGAATTTTGTCTGGTTATACAACAAAAGCAAAACCAAAAGTAAGTGACAATTTGTAAAACAGTGCTGCCTATGAGGGAGCAATTCCAGCTGCACTGCTATCTAGCTGCTGAAGGGCTCCCAATCACGTTTCATGTTCCTGCACATTCAAAAGTCAAATACCGGGCCGGCCCAGTGGTGCGATGGTTAAGAACCGGCTTGGAATGCCAGAGGGCCCCGGTTCGGATCCCACATATGAGGGTCAGTGACACTGCCCTCCACAGCTAAGATGCTAAACAACAGCTCAACCTGGAGCTGGGCTGCCCTGAGTCGCTGGCGACAGTGTAGGCTGCAGCCCCTG